TTATTCCAAGGCCCCAATGCAGACCTATACAGAATTTCAGTTTCTAGTGATACGGGACCTAGAGATACGCAGCAGCAGCACCACCACTCCTGCCCTGCCCCTCCATGATTCTTACATGTGCAGTGGAGTTTGAAAGCTAGCTTGTCTTCTTTTTTTTTTTTGCGTTAAAACATTTTTTTTCTGCCAAAAGTGTGTTGTCTGGAATGCAGGCTAAATATTAATTAAATATTCTTTAGATATTTGGAAACCATTTACCTACCACTTAAAAAATTAATAGTGTAGGGGCACCTAGGTGGCTCTGTTGGTTGAGCATCTGCCTTTGGCTCAGGCCATGATCCTGGAGTCCTGGGATCCAACCCTGACTCCCTGCTCAGTGGGGAGTCTGCTTCTCCCTCTGACCCTCTTCTCTCGTGCTCTCACTCTCTCTCTCAAAGAGATAAAATCTTAAAAAAAAAAAAACAAACAAAACTAATAACATAAAACAAATGGACATTTCCCAATTTTATTTGTGTAGGACATGCAAAATTTTGGACATACCTCAGTGGAATAAAGGGAACTTTCTAATGTCTTCTGGTTTCCCACTGGTAAACCTGAACATTCTGAAACATTTATTTATATCTGTTGCATGCTAGGAACTACTCAAAGATTTAGGAAGTGAAGTTTTCACTCAGAAAAGGTTGACACTATTGTGGTGAAGATATCTTTACATGGTTAACAAATAAGTTAATGTGAAGCTTGATAAGACCAGCATGTAATAGGCACATGGAGGAGGCGTGATTCGAGGAATGTAGAAAAGCCTTACCAAAGGGAGGACATTTGTGCTGTTACTCGAAGGAGTATTATTTCATAAAGTGAATCAGGGTGGGGCGTGGCAGTGTAGTCAGTGGGAATAGCTTGAGCAGTAATACAGGGTATGAAAAACCTTGTTGAGTTTGAGTGATCCATTAGTAAGGATCGTTCAGTATCACTATGGATCACTAAGGATCCATCAGTAAAGGATCAGTGATCCTTTGTGGCCACAGTTGGGGGGAAGGGTACTTGTGGGAAAGTGTCAGTAGAAGATGAGGCTGGGATGGTAGAATAAGCAATTTCAATTAGATTCCTAGCAAGGTTTTGTTTATTTTTTTAATTGTATAAAATCATCTTAAATTTTATATAGAAGAATACATATATAATAATTTGGTCTGAGAACAGTCAATAAAGTTTTGAAAAAGAATAGGGGAGGTTGGGGGGCTTCCTTTTCAGATCTTAAGACATTCTATAAAGCCACCGAATTTAAATTATTAAGGCATTGGCATAGGAATAGGTAAATAGTTGAATAGAACAGATTCATAAGTAGATTCCTATATAAATGAGGATTTAGTATATGACAAATTGGTGTTTCAGTTTGGTGGGAAAGGATGTATTTTTAATAGATGATGATGGCAGAACTGACTGTACATTTATAAGAAAATAAATTGCACCTTTCCTATACCATTTACGGAAGTAAATTCCAGATGAATATAAAACTTAAGTGTGAAGAAATAAGCAATTGTTTTGCAGGAAGTCTAGGAGACTACATATACACTTTAGGGTTACGTTTTCACACTTTGGACCTAGTCCTATAATAAATGTATTTTATACTGTGACCCAGAAATATGCATTTATGAAAAGTGAAACAAATTTCACAGAATATTGGCTTTACTATGTCTGATGCCTTTATTGTATATCTTATTCCAGGTAATTAAAAACAAAAGTGTTACCCATTACATTTATTTCATGACCCACAGTTTGAAAAACACTGACAGAGGAGATGGGAGGCAGAAACCACCTAAGCCAGACTCAAGCTATAAAATTTAAATATGTGACCAGGAGGCGCCTTCGGTGGCTCAGTGGGTTAAAGCCTTTGCCTTCGGCTCAGGTCATGATCCCAGGGTCCTGGGAAGCCACACATCAGGCCTCTCTTCTTCCCCCTCTCTCTCTGCCTGCCTCTCTGCCTACTTGTGATCTACTTGTGTCAAATAAATAAATAAAATCTTAAAAATTAAAAAATAAATATGTGACTAGAACAATGAAATTTCACCGCATACCTATCTAATTGGCTAATAAAGAAAGAAAAAAGCAAGCAATTCCTGGCAGGAGATGGAGTGTGAGAGGAGGGAAGGGCGCTTATCCATTCCAAATGTAGATGGAAGGTGTTACAGCTTTTTTTGGGGAAGCAATCTGGCAAGACCCATTAACATTAAAAACAAATGCCCTTTGATCCAATCGTTACATTCTTGGGAACTTGTCCCATAGAAATTAAAAGGCCAGTGTTTATATGAATAAGTATGTTTATTGCATCATTTCCTGGTGATAAAAAAGTGGGAAATGAAATAAATACACATGTTGGGAGATTGGTTGAATAAGTTATACCACACCCATGTTGTGGAATGTTACACAGTCATTAAAAAGAATGTATTATTAGTTGGAAGGATGTTCATTAGGCATTGTTGAATGGGGAGAAAAAAAGATACAGAAAAGTGTACAATGCCTATCTATGCAAGTATGTAAAATTATTTTAATATGATTGAGTTAGGGTAGAGCAAACACAAGAGGAAACATTAGGTTGTGAACATGGATTATCTGTCTAGGGAAGTGAACTGTTTTGATAGGATATGAAGCCAAATAAAATGAAAAAGGTAAAGAAATTACACTGAAACAAAAGCCCTTGTGTAATATTCTTGTGCATTTACGTAAGAGACTACGTCTAGCGTTTATATTATACTGTGTATGCACTGCATGTATATGTACTTGTATATATGTTGACTAGAAGAGGTGAGAAAAAATGTATGGCATAGGAATATAAGTTGTCATCTGATAGGGACGGCTCCTTATCAGAAATTTCCCTTTTTTCCCCTTCCATTATTTTGGGAGGGGTGGGGAGGGCACTGGAATATCCTTGGGGGAATTCCTTATAAACCCAAGGAAACTGAGCTAATCTTAGTAGTCGAATCCACCCTTCCTTCAGATGGTAGGTACCTTGTTAGATGCTGGTCCAGCTCTCTTGCCTTCCCATTTTCAGGGCCTTTTCGTCCAGAGGAGGACATCAGATCTCAGAGGGTATGGAAGGGTGCAGGGCCCAGAGTCCATCAGATTCCCAGAGAAGCTGAGAAGATTGAGGAGGGTTGGGGGTAGGAGGTATGAAAGAGGGGAAGGGAACGTGGTGGGTTCCTCTGTACGGAAAAGAGAAAGAAAGGTAGTTTGGGACCAGTCTGTGAATGACTTTGACTTTCATGCTAAGGAGTTTCATCTTCATTCTTCAGACCTGTAATTGTCAAATGCCATATCCTCATGAAAAATACTGATACTTGTTGAGCTGGGAATGAAGTTTTTATTTTTTTTTTAAGATGTTTTTATTTATTTATTTGACAGAGATCACAAGTAGGCAGAGAGGCAGGCAGAGAGAGAGGGAGAAGCAGGCTCCCTGCCAAGCAGAGAGCCCGACGTGGGGCTCGATCCCAGGACCCTGGGATCATGACCCGAGCCAAAGGCAGAGGCTTTAACCCCCTGAGCCACCCAGGCGCCCCTGGAATGAGGTTTTTAAAGATAAAATTGAACAATGCTAGTCTTGCCCAGTATGAAGGAAAATTAGCTTAAAAGATAGAACTTTTTAAAGATTAAGTGTACCCATGTATTTTGCTTAAACTCTGCTGGCTGGGCATAAAGATTTCAGAACAAGTAGAAGTTGGAAGTTAGCAGAGATTAATTGGAAAGAGCTTAACCATCCTTGATTCTCTTCATGTTTATGATTGTAACATTTACATTGTATTCATACAGCTGTGTTTTCTGTGGCTGAAAGTTTTTCATTTTCATGATAGACAGAGATCATTTCATGAGACTGTACAGCACAGGGAGAAGCAGTACGTGCACAGAGAATGTATAGGATACGGAGAAGGTAGTACATGCCATGGTCAAGAGAATGGTTACCGGAACCCAACAGATAGGGATTAAAACCCAGCTCCACCATGTTATAGCTCTGAAGCCTCAGGTAAGCAGCAAACCTCTCCCTGTCTCAGCATTTTCATCTGTGAAATAGAGATAACATTCATTAATATTCATTGAGTTGGTTTTTTCCAAGATATATTTTATCTTTAGGGAGAGAGAGAGCATGCGCATATGCACCCACACACCCACAAACCCCCCCCCCCACACCAACACACACACACAAGTGTGGGGAGGGGCAGAAGGAGAAGGAGAGAGAGAATCACAAGTGGACTCCTGCTGTGTGTGGAGCCTCATATGGGGCTGGATCCCACCACCCGAGCTGAAACTAAGCTGGGGATGCTCAGGTGACTGAGCCACCCAGGCACCCCGATTCATTGAGCTGTTTTGGTGATTGCATGAGTGGTATGTAGTAAATGCTCAGTGAGTCGAGCTCTTAATATATTTTCTGAAGAACACTATGACTTCCAGGTGTTCCATTACTAGAAATTTGTGTGTCACTCCTGCAGGGAATGAAATATTCACAAAGAATTTTATGTTTGATTTGAGGACTTCAGTGGGAAATTGCAGGGGTATGTTTCTAGCATGTAATAGGTACTTGGATATTACTGACTGAAAAATCTAGATCTTGGAGTAAATTCTTTCCTTTTTCTTCCTTTCTAGTTAGGGCACTTCATTCTGTATCTTTTTCTCTCCTGGAACATAGAATGAGGAGGTCTCCCTCTTGTTATGAGAGCCAGATCAGATCATTTTATCCCCCTGCACAGTGGTATCTGTCCCAGTTCCGCTCCAGGGTTTCTGAGGCTCTTTTGGGGAGGTGCTCAGACAGCTGCTTCCCAGGGTCTGCCTTCCTACCTGATCTTGCTGTGAGGCTGTTTCAGGATATTTTCAAAACATTTAGATGTGTTTTTTTTCTGTCTGCTTGGTAGTGTGTTTGTAGCTGCTTTATCTTACCATGTAGGGCAAATCTGTGTTTTATTGATTTCTATTAATTTACAGCAGTGTAATTTAACAGAATTTTTTTTTTGTCTTTCCAGGTGCCATTTGGATAGTCCTTTAGCGGCACGATGTACTCTGAGTGGAGGTCACTGCATTTGGTGATTCAGAATGATCAGGGCCACACGAGTGTGCTGCACAGCTATCCAGAGAGCGTTGGGCGAGAGGTGGCAAATGCAGTGGTGCATCCCCTTGGGCAGGCCTTAGGTACCCCTTCAGTGGCTGGTAGTGAGAGTTTGTTAAAAACTGACAAAGAAGTAAGTGTTTCTTCATTTCATTCTACTGTGTGAAAACAGAATTTTGTTACTGAATAATTTATTTGACATTTTCCTTTTAATGGGTTTCTGTCCAATGTAGTACAACTTACTTAATTTTGACCTTTGGGCAGAGGGTTGGGGCTGAGAGTTCATGGGGGTCAAGGAATAGGTTGTACTGTTGTGTTGCTAGCCCCTTACTAGCCAGGCCCAATTCTTCACTTCAGCTGTGTACTCAAGACAAGGCTTAAATGTCAGGCTCTTTCCCCTAAGCTCTGGGCCCAGTCTTCAGATTTTTATTCAGAGCTATGTTTAGAAGGTCTTCACTGCTCCTCCCATATGGCCTCTAACTGAAGGCCTGTCTTGTGTCAAGTTTTCAGGCTACACATACACACTGAACTTGAGGCCCTCCTGTGTCTCCACGTCTGCCTACCCTTACCTATCTCTCAGGTTTAAGGATGCTGCAGAGCAGCTAAGCCCGTATGGCTGCGAGACCAAGTGTGTGGAATGGGGCTTGTGTTTGCGGTCTCTAAAGATAAGAGCTCTTAGAGTGGCTTGGCCTGGAGGTGGTCCTCTATTCTTGGGTTCAAGTGACTGGGCTGACGTGAAGTTTTAAGGGTCAGGTCATGCAGGGACCCTGAAAATGGAGGGATACAGGAACTTGCTAGTGTGATGTCTGGCTAAAATACGGGATTAGAACTTTGTTTTTGTGCTTGAGGAAGTTTATACAACCTTCAGACTTTGGGTTAGCTTATTTTCCAGACCCACTTTTTCTTCCCCTTACTTTTTTATTTCTTTCTGATGAAGGAGAGATTAGCCTTAATCTAGATAGAAGACTGGATACAAGACCAAAGCTTATAGCTCTAAAGGCAGTTTATTTACCCTCTGCAGGCCATGGGTTGCTGGAGGATGAAGCCCCTCAGTCTGAGGAGCGTTTTTCTCTCTTCAGAGTACCTTAGCAGAGACTTATCCTAAGGACCAGCGCTTGCCCTGGTGCACTCCTCTTGGTGGGTCTATAATCTTCTCCTGGGAAGAGATGGCACATGAGTGGATAGAGGTGCTCTGGTGCAGCCCTTGTTTGTTGTCCTTCCTCACCCTTAAAAAGATACGATAGAATAGTCCTTGAATCCACTGTCCTCTAGAATTGTACAACTGAACTATTATGAAGGTATCACCAGAGATATTTTCTCCTTTGTCGTTTCATCTGACAATCACAGACTTGCAGTCCCTTTTAAAATCCCTTCTTATGCGTGGTTCAGTTCCTCCTACCCTCCTATATTTGTCACAGCTTCACTGTGGTGTTAGAGCCTTTAAAGTTTATCACTGTTGTAGATAATACTGTATTGTCTGTGTTATATTGCTGTTAACATGATTTTACTCTTAGTCGTTTTAGTTGTTTTTGAGCTTAAAATTTTCTCTACCTGTATTTATCTTGTTAGATTCAACTTTTGTTTTAAACTGTCGAAGTCTTTTTGAATCCTGAATTTCTATATAACAAGTTAGCTATCCATTTTAGCTTTGTGATAGCTACAGATGGTTAGCCTATAGACTGTTTTTCTCTCTTTTCCTAAGTAAAAATCTCAGCAGGGCCTTTGGCATGCCACTGGGCACCTTCTTCAAAATGGTCTTGGTGCATTAACCCACTGTGTTCTCTCATCTTGTATTTCAACAACTTAAAATCCAGCCATTTTACCTTCCTCTGGGTCATAGGTCTCTGTCTTGTCAAAAGAATATCCTGTACCTGACCACGTTTCCTGATCCCCCTTAGCCAGACAAAGCTATTGGTGGAATATGGTGGGAGTAGCTTCAGATGTCTAGCTGGAAGATTAGGGTCCAAGTTTTCAGTTTTACCATTTCCAAACCAGTGACTTGGGCCAAACTGCTTAATCTTCCTAAGCATCAGTTTTCTTATCTATAAAGTGAGGATAATTTAACCTCTCACACAGGGTTATTTTGATGGTTAGATGATATTTATGAAAGTTGCTTTGTAAATTGCCAGGGTTATGCAATTGTCCACTGCCTTCATAGTAACCTTGTTAGTAAAGGAATGAAGCTTGACTGGCATGACTTGTTCTTTTTGAGTAGGCTGGTTCCCAGTGATCATGCTTCCGTTTTATAAGTGCTCACTGGTCATCTGCTTAGTAAGTTGTCCCACAGTTTCATCTGGAATTCACTGAAACTTTCCAGTCTACAGAATCTGGAATATTGTTTCATCCTCTCTTGCAAATTATGCTATTTTCCCTTTCTGCTTATATCATATTCATTCTTCATGACTGTAGGCAGTGGTTTGGTAGTCGCTTAGACAAGTTCTCTCAGCCTCTATGATGTGAAGCACGTGGGTCAAGGGCCTCGCACTCATTTAGTGCAACTAAGTGCCTTGTTAAGATCTTACCAGCTTAAGTCCCAATTGTGTGTGTTCTTACCTTCCCATGTTATTTTCTTTGGCAGAAAGAGTCACAGAATAAGAGTTGAGCAGGTCATATTCTTTCCTGTTGCTTGTTAATGTTGCATAATCTAGAAATGGAATATGATTGAATTTATATATATGATTTCCTAAATGACACACATACCTATATACAAATTTAAAGGAGAAATAAAGCTAAAATTTTCTGTGTTTCTGTGCCTGCAGTCTCTAGAGAAAATCAAGACAGCCCATAATTGCTTTTTATTTCACATAAGACAATAATAATATCTAATGGGCAATAGCCAACATGGGTTTAATATTTAGAAATAAATAATTTATTTTTTTCTTAAATATTTTGCTTAGGAAATGTCTGAGTATATTTTTTCCATGGAAAGTGCATTCTTGAGAATAGATCTGATGATGTAAAGTTGAGATGGTTATACTGTCACTTGAGAGGTTTTTGATAATAAAAGAGGTCAATATTAAATCAGTCTACTGAAATATAGTAGGGGTGTGTGATAGTGCTGTATGTATATTTTCTTTTGTTTAGGTGAAATGGACTATGGAAGTAATTTGCTATGGACTGACCCTTCCACTGGATGGAGAGACTGTAAAATATTGTGTTGATGTATATACAGATTGGATTATGGCTTTAGTATTGCCGAAAGATTCTATTCCATTGCCAGTTATTAAAGAGCCTAATCTATATGTTCAAAGTATACTAAAACACCTGCAAAATCTTTTTGTACCGAGGTAAGCTATACCTGTCTGGCCTTTTATCAGGATCATAATAAAATATTCGTAAATGTTACTATTTTATATAAATAGGAGCTGATTTCATTGTTAGTCTTTTGAAAAGTAACTATCATTACTGTTCAGAGAATGTATTAATATGAATGATAAGAGAGATGGGCTTATAGCATGTTTACTAAGTGTTTTTAACAAGTGTATGTTCATTAAAGGCTTTTGGTTTCCTTTCTAAGATTTGATAGCTGTTAGATATTAAAACGTTAGGACTCCTTTCCCCTCCATTCAAAAAACAAACTTTTGCCTATCATAATTTTTTTCTCCACTTAAGCTAAAGGCAACTAAACCTTTTACCTTAAAATGAATCTTTCCTATGAGAGAATGAAGACATTGAAGTAAGCAGACTTGAAATTATTATGGGCAAATTTGTAGTAGACCAAAAGATTTTGTTAGCAGTTTGTTACTGATTTTTTTTCTCCTATCTTCTGAGACGATGACCTTAAATATCATAATATGGGATATGTACCTTATTTGGGCTTCAAATTTTTTTTCCAGGGGCCCTTCGGTGCCTCAGTCGGTTAAGTGATAGCCTTCAGCTCAGGTCATGATCTCAGGGTCCTGGGATCAAGCCCCATGTCGGGCTGCCCACTATGGAGTCTGTTTCTCCCTTTCCCCTGCTTGTGCTCTCCCCCTCTTGCACTCTCTCCCTCTGTCTCAAATAAATTAATCTTAAAAAACTTTTTTTTTCCAATTCTAAAAGATCATATGTCATTGTAAAGAGTTTGGGAAATATAGAAAATAATGGAGAAGAAAGCATTAATTAGTTTCTTATCCATTCATGAGGATTTCCTTTAAGAAAAACCTGTCTTTAGCTGTATTTTAATGTCTTTGAAAGAGGCAAAGGAGCTTGCTTCCTTTTGGAAAAGTTCTTATTACAGCTTTTTCTTTATCAGATGATGAGAGACTTTAAATCATCCAAAACCACTCTATAAATTTTTAACCTTTTAAATTTATAAGGAAGAATACTTTGGAGGCCCCTGGCTGGCTCAGTTGATAGAGCATGCAACTCTTCATTTCAGGGTTGTGAGTTTGAGCCCTACAAATGGTGTAGAGTTTACTTAAAAAATTATTTTTTTTTAAACTTTATTTATTAGTGAGTGAGAGAGCAAGAGAGAGCACGAGTCGGGGCAGGGCTGGAAGGAGAGGGACAGGCAGATTCCCCACTGAACAGGAAGCCCAACTCAGGGCTGGATTCCAGGACCCCGGGATCATGACCTGATCTGAAGGCAGATGTTTAACTGACTGAGCCACATAGGTGCCCACCCCAAAAAAATTTTTTTTAAAGAGTTTTAGAAAGAAGTTTACTTTGTAAAATTTGAATTAAAAAAAAAAAACTCATTGAGAACTGTGATGTGTAGGATCGAGTATAAACTGCTTGCCTTTTGTGAAATGCTGGCTATAATCTAAACAGATTATCTGCTGCTAATTCTGCGTGAGCCCTGCTCATTGGTCAGACTCGTAAATTAAACATTCCCTTAAGACTCCTTAATGATCTTCCTCATCTCTCCTACCCTTTTGTCATCTTCTTCCTCTTCTCCCTCTCCTAGTTGTCCACATCTCATTCTTGTTGGTTCATCTTAAGTCCTGCCTTATAAACAGAAGCCTTGCTTGACCATCCAGCCCCATAGTGATCATACCTTTTCTGAACCAGTGTGGTACTTCCTGTGTCACTCTTTTTTTTTTTTATGTCTTCCCTATTTTATTGTTTATCTTTTTTAAAATGTGTGTGTCCTATTTCCCCAGCTAACCAGATTGAAGGCAAGAACTAGGTTTTACATATTTGGGGCTTCCACAGTACCTGGTGCAGTACTTACATTATTAGAGGTGTGAATTAAATATTTGTTGCTTGTATTTATTGATTTCAAATAGGAGTAGTAACAAGAAGTAGTTGACAGTGATTAACATATTATTGTGCCTAAGCAGACTCTTCTAAAATGGTGTAATAGTTTTAATGCTTTTGTCGGTCCATGTAGAAGACTAATTTACTGGCCTTTTTCCTTGGGCATGGGACAGTCTGATGAGTAGTATTGTCACTGTGTTGCTTTCCTGTTTGCTCTCTTACCACCTGTCTGTGCTCAATTCATTTGTATTGATGAAAAATAGCAATGACATTTGAGTTAATTGGGCTTTTGCTTTTTTTCCCTTTTGAGAACATGAGTACCTTGTTCATTAACTTTTTTTCTCAAGAGTGTGTGTGCATTCTTCAGAGAGGATATTGGACAGAGTCCTGGAGTTCTCCTGGCCAACAGTGTCTTAGGGAGCTGAATATTTTCAGTGCTAAATATTAGGAGTTATGATCTTCTCTCCCTTTTTTGGAAGTATCAGAGTTTTTGTTTTGTTTTGTTTTAAATTCAGATCACAAAATTGTCCTCAAGCTTACTTAGTTGTTTTTATAAAAAGTAACACTCAAAATAGAAGAAACTTTTTACCACTTTGCTAGAGATAAGTCAGTGGGGGTAACCTTTCTCTTTTTGCCTATCAGTTTAGTTTGATCTCTTTTGTTTATTTGCATAATAGAGTGAAGAGTGAATCATCTTTTATTTATTTATTTTTTAAAAGAGTTTATTTATTTATTTGACAGAGATCACAAGTAGGCAGAGAGGCAGGCAGAGAGAGAGGGGAAAGCAGGCTTCCTGCTGAGCAGAGAGCCAGATATGGGGCTCGATCCCAGGACTCTGGGATCATGACCTGAGCCAAAGGCAGAGGCTTTAACCCACTGAGCCACCCAGGCGACCCAAGTATCATCTTTTAAAATTGATTAGGGTTTTCATTACTCAAATATGTTGTAGTTTAAAAAATGTAATACTCTTCTAAAGCAGCGGTTGATAAACTTTTTTGATAAAGAGCCAGATAGTAAATATTTTAGGCTTTGTGGGCTATGTGGTTTCTGTTCTAATTACTCAACTCTGCTGATGAAGAGAAAGTAGCCACAGATAATGTGTAAATGAATGAACATGGCAGTATTCCAGGACAACTTCAACAAAACCAGATGGCAGGCCAGATTTGACCCATGGGCTATAGTTCACTGGCTGTTGTTCTGAGAACAGTTTTTCTGAAGATCATAAGTTCTTTTTGAAAATGTTGGAGGAGGGGCGCCTGGGTGGCTCAGTGGGTTAAATAAAGCCTCTGCCTTCGGCTCAGTTCATGATCCCAGACACCTGGGATCAAGCCCCGCATCGGGCTCTCTGCTCCGCTGGGAGCCTGCTTCCTCCTCTCTCTCTGCCTGCCTCTGCCTACTCGTGATCTCTGTCTGTCAAGTAAATAAATTAAAAAAAAAAAAAAGAATCTTAAAGAAAAGAAAATGTTGGGGGGGGGGAATCTCTTGTGTTTAGACCTTTCTGCTAATTTTTAAGCAAAAATGATGTTAAATGAAGTAAAGATGATCTTGTTTCTCTTAGCTTTACATACTTGAACACTGCTCCTGAATTTAGGTCTTCTTTGTGAGGCTACAGTTACCTACAGAGCAGATATTTCCTTTTGTACCAGTGGACAGGTACCTGGAAATAGTGGGTAGGCCTAGGTTACTAGCTTGGAGTCTTATCACTAGATTGGAAGAGTGTCAACCCCAGAGATATTCTTATTTCTTATTCTGGACTTCTTGTATGACTAGATGAGATTTGGGGCTATTATAGTTTGGTCCTGTTCTTCAAGTAGCCAGTGCCGCAGACACAAACTTATGCCTCATGGCTTCGCATGTACTGGATTCACCTCTAGCTGAATGTGGGACATCTCCCTGCTCTTTGGGGATCTTGGTCTTCCTAGGTGAGAGGTAGGACTTCTTTAGGAAAAACTTAGTGGTGTCCTTTGTAACTTTAAGGTAAGTGTCTGGTTTTCTGGGCCATAGCCCAGAATCTGAGAATCTTCTATCCTCAGGTTGGGGCAGGAGTGGTAAGTCCACTCTTTTCATTTTCTGGATTTTTTGAGGAAGCTCTGTTTTATCAGCTCTTTGTGATATAAGTCACAATATAGAAACTTGTCAAGATTTATTTCAGTACTATGAGTTACTAGGTTTCACATAGTGAGTCAGGAGGCCAACTCACCACTCACTTATGCATTGAATTTCCTACTATTCTCAAAATTCTCAGGTGGTCTGCTTTGCAAAGTAGGGATAAGGGGCTAGGGCTTGGACCTCTATCTTCTACTCTAGTCCCAGTACTTTGATCTGTTTTATGGTCCTATAGACTAAAGAGAGTTCTAAAACTTTTTTCTAGAGTATCTTGGGAGCCATTGGAACCCCCATCTTAGGTTAAGGTGCCTGTTTTATTAGAACAGCAGTAACAGGGTGCTCACTTTTGAGGCAGTTGCCTCCATACCTCATCAGTTTCAGGGACCTGTGAGGATATTCCCTTGGGTCTGTAGGCTCTTCTCTAGCAGACATTAGCCTCAAAGGGACTGTGAGCACCAAGAATTCACATTCTAAATTCTCGTGAATGTGTGTTTAAAATTTTTTTTAAAGAATACAAAGGGCATTGTGCTTCAGTGAGCAACAGAAGGGGCTGTGGGTATTTACTCATTCACTCAGGAGAAAATGGTGTGCCTGTTACATTGTCTGGTACATTTTAGACTTAGAAAATCCAGAGGTGAAACTTAGATTATACTGTTCCCCCCTGCCCGGGAGCTTTTCAAGCTCTCATAGGAGTGGTAGGTTGAGATCCCAGAGAGCCAAACCATGGTGGCAAAATAGCTTTGAATTGAAGAGGCTGCGCCTTGTCGTGCGTTCTGATGCTCTTAGGGCGTGTCATTGGACCATTGCTTCCTGTGTCCATAAGTCGCTTGTTGTCAAGCCTTTGCTTTCTCTCCTCAAGGCTTGTCAGTGATGTATCTGTCTTCTTCAGACAGGAACAGGGCTCCAGTCAGATCCGACTATGCTTACAGGTCCTGAGAGCCATTCAGAAACTGGCCCGTGAGTCATCCATCATGGCACGAGAAACATGGGAAGTCTTACTGTTGTTTCTTCTGCAGATTAATGACATACTTCTAGCCCCGCCAACTGTTCAAGGTCTGTTTATGTTTTTTCTAATTTATTTCCAAGCTCTGGATACAGTTCACTTTAAACTCACTGAGTAGTAGACTGTACGGATTTACACTTTGGGATGACATTGGACAAACCGAGGTTAACAGGTCTTAGAATGGAAGCCCTCATAGGCACAACATAAAGTTATTTTACTTTCAGTGATGATTTTGCTAATGTAGGAGAGATTCGGTGCATGAATGCATATTTGATAATGATAGCAATGGTAGGTTGTTCAGTCTATTAGGATAGAGGCTATATAAGAAACAGCTAACTGAAGTAGAACCTGTAAGTACAGTACCTGATTGCAAAGTAGTTATCAAAGTAGACATTAAAAACTTGACAGTGGCAGAAGATATTTTATCAGTAAATGAATCCTGCAAAATCTTAATGGTTCTATTTGGAGGTATGACAATATGCCACTCATACCTTGTCATTAAGAAGCCTCCAGTTTTATGCCTTCAGATTGTATTTTAGAAGCCCTGCTGTGTATGTTACAGCATAGTATATACAAACTGTAAGTTGATACACTAGTTCTAGGTTCCCTTGTTGCCCATTATCTGTGTAGTCTCTTAGTAACAGACATGCAGTGTGCACTTGCGAACTAGCACAAATGCAGTGTCCAGGAAAGTATCTAAAAGAAATCACAGAATTCCACTGTTGAAAAATCAGTCCATAGTAGGAATACCTTGTCTGTTATGATGATAGCTAGGCAGTCATAGATTCATTAGCTCTTTGGTACACAGTCTCCATGCCAGGAATCTCAGCAACTCAGCACAGGCAGTTTCTCCCCTTCTGGGGCTCATTATTGTTGAAACTTCATTTGTGCTCATTTAAAATATGCATCCTTATAACTTTTTTCCTACTATTCCCAAGTTTGCCTTGTGGAGCTATGCAGAGTATAGACCACTACTTTTCTCCCTAGTTCCAGGGCTCAGAGTGGAGGAACAGGTCTGTTTTCATGGTTGAGGCTCTGTCCTACACAGCACCGGTCCTTTTGCTCCCTTCTTTGTCTCCCTCTCCCCAAAGGGTAGCTTTCAAACACCTGAAAGTTTTACAACAAAGTTTGGAGGTAGAAGGACCTGGGTATTTGCTCTGATTCCTTTACTTATTGACTGTGTAAACTTGGAGAGTTTACTTAAATTTTCTCGTTTAAGTTTTCTCTTCTTCAAAATGTGTTTAATTGATAATTTGTAAAAGATATAAGTCTCTGTCTTGCAGAATTAGTGTGCAAAATATATGAGGTCATGTGCATAAACCAGTCAGCACAGAAACTGACCCAGTAGTCACACATCATAGACATTCGTCCTTCCCCTTCTCCTCTGTGTCTGTCCCAGTTGCTGGAAGATAAAGATCTTTGATAATAACTGAGCAGGGCAACTTGAAAACTTTGTAAATGATAATTGGTTGATGTCATCATGATTTTCTTCATAGGCCCTCCTAAGAATAGTTTCTCATTCTTACTTATTAAGTGGCTATTTGAAAGTCAGAACTTAACATTGCAATTATTTTGATTTTTTGACCGCTTATCCCAAATCAGTGAATTAAAGTTTGTTTGTTTGTTTAATAAGTATGCCAAAGATGTTTTCTTTTTGTTGGTAAGGTGGCATTGCTGAGAATCTAGCAGAGAAGTTGATTGGTGTTCTCTTTGAGGTTTGGTTACTAGCTTGTACTCGGTGCTTTCCAACACCACCTTATTGGAAAACAGCCAAGGAGATGGTGGCGAACTGGAGGCACCACCCTGCAGTAGTGGAGCAGTGGAGCAAAGTCACCTGTGCACTCACTTCAAGGTAGGTTACCATCATTGACTTGCCTTCCTTCATCCATCTGGTCTAAGGCAGCTTTCTCCTAGTTCCATGTCTTCCTGGGATTCTGAAAAGTCCTGTGTCTGTTATTACTTGCATTTTAAGTACAGAATCAAGCCACTTTTTATTTCTTTTTTATTTTTACGGTTTTTTATTTATTTGAGAGAGTGAGAGAAAGAGATTAGGGGAGGGTAGAGGGAGAAATAGACTCCTCACTGGGCAGAAAGCCTGATGTGGGACTCAATCCCAGTGGATCCATGACCTGAGCTGAAGGCAGATGCCTAACCGACTGAGCCACCCAGGCGCCCTCAAGCCACTTTTTAAAAATGGATATACAGTTTGGCTACTGCCTGGCAAATTTAAAACCTTTCAGATTAAGTAAATTTGGACAAGCAGATAAATTTTGCACCCTGCCTCCCTTGCCAAAATCCCATTCTTAATGTGATTACTAAAATACCGTGATTATTATTTTTTAAAAAACCATAGAAAGGTATAAAAAAATCAAGTTCTTTAGAAATGCTATTATATATATCTATACATAATTTTATAGAAATGAGACCATACTATAATGTGCCATATTATAACCAAAGTAGGTAGTTTGTTATATTAATTTTACCTTTTTTACCATTTATATGTAATGTGAGTAAACTTTAGGCTTTATTTTTTTTCGGACTTGTTTCTTCATTTCAGTTCTACGAATTTTCCCCTAAAGATTCTATTTATGTATGTATGTATGTATGTATGTATGTATGTATGTATTTAAGCAAGAGTGAGAGAGCACAAGAGAAGGGTGAGGGGCAGCGGGAGAAGCAGACTCCCCGCTGAGCAGGGAGCCTGATGCGGGGCTTGATCCCAGGACTCTGGAATCAAGACCTGAGCCGAAGGCAGATGCTTAACTGATTGAGCTACCAGGAGCCCCTAATTCTACATATTTAAATATGTAGCTTTAAAAGATGAGGATTCTTTTTAAAACATAATCACAGTACCAATATCATACCTAAAAAAATTAACAGTTCTTTAATATCAGCCATTCAATGTTTAGATTTCCCTTGAATGCCTCCGGTTTTCTTTTGTTTGTTTTTATGTTTTTATTTTTTTTATTTTTTATTTTTTGTGGTTGATTCCATTGAATCAAAACAAGCAAGGTTCACATATTACATTTAATTGACATGTTTCTTAAGCCTTTCTTAAGCTATAGGTTCCTACTCTCTCGTTTTTATTTCTTTGTGGTTTTTGTTGAAGAAACTGGGTTGTTTGTCTTAGAGTGTTTCCACATTCTGAATTTTTCTGATGATGTCCTAGTTGTGTTAATATGTTTCTCTGTCCTCAGTGTTTCCTGTCAACTGGCAATTAGATCTAGAACCTTCATCTGCTTTAGATTCCATGCGGGGAGAGGCAGTGTGAAGGCAGGAACAAATAACTTCTAGGTAGCATTATGTATCAGATGGTAGACTGGTCTTTTTCTGAGTTAGTGAAATGTTTATGTTTCTATCTTCATCATTATTTAAAGTAAGAAATGGAGGTTTTAGAATATTCTTTTGATTCTTTTATATCTTAGTGAATGTCAAAATTATAAATCTAGTTTCAAATAATACTTAATTGAATTTAAATGGAAAAGGTAAATAAATGAAAAAACAAAAATTTTTAGGAAAAAAAAAGTCATCTAAATAATACCTGTATCATGTTAAATAAATCAACTAATTTCTGCTCCAAAAAAATAAATACTTTTTATCTTGATTATAAAACCAATACATAATTTTTTTTTTTTTAAGATTTTATTTATTTATTTGACAGAGAGACACAGTACGAGCGGGAACACAAACAGGGGGATTGGGAGAGGGAGAAGCAGGCTTCCTGCCGAACTAGGAGCCCAATTTGGGGCTCGATCCCAGGACCCTGGGATCATGACCTGAGCCAAAGGCAGATAGATGCTCAATGACTGAGCCCCCAGGCACCCCAAAACCAATACATTCTTAAAATAGAAAACTTGGAAAAAAAATAGAAAACTTGGAAGATATGGGGGAAACTTTCCATGACTTACAGATCACCAGTGTTAACATTTTTTTTTTTAAGATTTTATTTATTTATTTGACAGAGATCACAAGTAGGCAGAGAGGCAGGCAGAGAGAGGGGGAGAAGCTGGCTTCCCACTGAGCAGAGAGTCCGATGTGGGGCTCAATCCCAGGACCCTGGGATCATGACCTGAGCTGAAGGCAGAGGCTTTAACCCACTGAGCCACCCAGGTGCCCTCAGTGTTAACATTTTAATGTATTTTTTCCATTTCTCTTTATAAAAAAAGTTTGAGATTATTCTATGTAGTATTACCTGCTTTTTAAATTTGATTCTGATCCCATTAATTACATGTACCTTTTCTATGATTAAATCTTGAGATACTTCGAATGCCTTTATAGTTTTTTGTTATATAAATAAATGAAGTTATAATTTATACAATAATTTCATTGTTCAGATGTTTATGTTCTTTAAAAATACTGTTTATATAATACTTTATAGAAAGTCTGTATACTGGTTATTTCATTAAGATAGAATTTCTAGACATAAGGTAATTGAGTCAAAGGGCTTTGAACAGTTTAAATACATTTAGAATAGGACTATTAAATTAATTGAATTGTTGAATTACTTTTAAGTATCTAAGGTACACTATAAATTTAAGGTACACTGTAAATTCTGAACTTCATGCAAGTTATATAGCAGTTATTATGGATAAATTACAGCCTACTTGTGTTGAAGGAGTTTGTAGTGGGATGAATCTTTTTAAAAATTAAATAACAATTTATTTATAATTACATAACTATAAACATCAGTTTCATCTATAATTATACAATTTACTAATTTATTTTCAATTATTTATAAATAAAAATTTAAAAATAATCCATAATTTTATAATTTGATATTTGTAATTTTATTTATTATGAAATTATATCATTCATATACAGTTTTATATATTACATATTATATATTAAAAAGCTATTACATTACTATAAGATCATAATATATGTATTTAATGTATATCATTATGTAGTTTTATAAATTATAGATACATTTATAATAAAATTATATAACCTAAAATATGAATAGGTATGTAACTAAATGACAATAATTTTTAAAATAAATGCATTATTCAAATGTTTAGACTTTTTTTTTTAATCTTACAAAACTGTATTTCCCTTTATAATTTGTCTCTTATCAACGAGGGTCTTCATTCATCTTACTCACTTCTTTGAGGTGTAATACGCATGTCATCTATTTTCTCTTGTATTTCTCTTATCATATTTTAATACTTCAATGTATTTTTCATACTGCTAAGAAATGAACTTGGTGGTGTGCATTTTTTTTTGTATTCCAGATTGCTACGCTTTACGTATGGTCCTTCATTTCCTCCATTTAAAGTTCCTGATGAAGATGCCAGTCTGATCCCTCCTGAAATGGATAACGAGTGTGTAGCACAGACATGGTTTCGCTTCTTACATATGTTAAGGTACTGTTATTTAGTATTGTGTATTCTCTCTCCCCGGTCTCTTAGAGCAGGAGCCACGCTGTAACTTTCGTGTTGGTGCTCAGTGTGTGATGGCTAAATACAGCCCTCAGATGGAGCCACATTAGACAATAGGCACATCTACATCATGTGCCTCCTGCGCTCCATGTCCCAGCAGAGTCAGGCTACCCTCAGCTGTGCTTGGTCTGTACTCTTGAAGCTTGTCCCTGTGGTACATGTAACATTTGTTTTCATGCCTACTGCTGCAGCCTGGATATTATCTCTCCCAGGACCTGCTCTCTCTTTATAGTAATTCTGTTCAATTCAGTATTATTGCTTCTTACTTTTCTACTAGCTACATCCTTATGTCCTGTGGAACTTTTTTTCTGTTGCATGCTGCCCTAATTCTTAAATCATTTCCTCTCCATATCCTCTCATTCTAGTTTGACTGGCCTTATTTTTCTGTTCTGTGTATTAGTGATTCTAAATTACCCTTTTTGTAAATTAGTGTGTTAACCATTCTCTATCTTTCTTCTTGTTTGTAGTTCATGTTTTTCATCTTTCAGTGATTTCAGCTTTTTAAAAATGTCTTTTTCTATGGTCATTTTCTATTTCCTTTAAAATTAGAAAGCCTTCCTGTGTAATTAATTTTTTTTCTCTTTTTTGGTAGTAATCCCGTGGATTTGAGTAACCCGGCCATTATAAGCTCTACTCCCAAATTTCAGGAACAGTTCTTAAACGTTAGCGGAATGCCACAAGAATTGAATCAGTATCCCTGCCTTAAACACCTGCCTCAAATATTTTTTCGTGCCATGCGTGGGATCAGCTGTCTGGTGGATGCATTCTTAGGTGAATTTTGTGTATGTTGCTAAATGTTTGGAGACCTACATGTAGATAAGTCTAGAGTATAGATTTAGAAACTATTATGGAAAGCCCAAAGAAAAAGATGGAACAGATTTGATTACATATGACAAAAGTAGGAAAAAATTATTTGCAACAAATGTAATAGCTGGAAAGCTTTCGTTGTCTTTATATAAATCAAAGTATGCTAAGAAAAAGAATAAGACTTGGTAGATAAATGGACAAAGGATATGAATAAATGATTTGCAGAAAGGAAAAGTTTATTCTCAAGAAAATACAGATTAAAATACATTAGGGGGTGCCTGGGAGGCTCAGTGGGTTAAGCCTCTGCCTTCAGCTCAGGTCATGATCCCAGGGTTCTGGGATCGAGCCCTGCATTGGGCTCTCTGCTCCGCGGGGAGCCTGCTTCCCTTTCTCTCTCTCTGCCTACCTGTGATCTCTCTCTCTGTCAAATAAATAAAATCTTTAAAAAATAAAATAAAATACATTAGGTATCATTCTTATTGTGTCACTGGGAAGCAGATTGCACCTTTTGTGAATCATTTTAAACATTTTGGGGTGACTGAGTGGCTCAGTTGGGTAAATGTCTGCCTTTGGCTTAGGTCATGATCGTGGCGTCCTGGGATCGAGTCCTGCAATGGACCTGTTGCTCCCCCCGCTGTGAGCACTCGCTCACGGGTGCTCTCTTTGTTAAATAAATAAAATATTTTTTTAAAAACCCCATTTTTCACATTTTAGGAATATGAAAAGTCAGTATTTTTAACCTACTAAAAGGTAATGATATTTAGTATCTATTTTTTTTCTAAAACATTTATTATGTGCACTTGTTAATACATTACATAGGTAATATATTAGTTTAAATTAAGTTTGGCTGCCACAAAATAACCGAAAATATCAGTGGTTTAAACAAGATAGTTTATTTTCACATATGGTAAAGCCAGGGCTAGCTAGTATAGGGCTGCTATAGCTGTTCCATCATTGTAAGGGACCCAAGGCCCTTCTATCTTGTGGCTTTTTGTGTACTCTCTCAGGGACTGTGATGGTTAAATGAGTTCTAACCATCCTGTTCAGCAGTTAGGAAGGGAGGAGAGTCTGTACTTGATTGTTTTTTTTTTTAAGATTTCTTGGAATACCCACCCAGCAATCACCCACTTCTCCATGGTCAGAACATAGCCACATGTAGCTGTAATGGAGGCTAGAAAATGTAGTTGTGTATTTTGGGTAGCCATGTACAGCTAAAATTTGTGTTTTGTAACTCAGGAAGGAAGAGTGAATGGATATTGGGAGGCATCTAGCCATGTCTGCTCTAGTCTGCCTTCATTGGTGTTATTTGAGGAAGATTTTTTTGACCACATGTTTGAAACTATGAAGAATAACTCCATTTGTCTTTTTCTTAAAGGCATTTCTAGACCCCGATCAGACAGTGCTCCTCCAACACCTGTGAATAGATTAAGTATGCCTCAAAGCACTGCTGTGAGTACCACCCCACCACATAACCGGAGGCACCGGGCTGTTACTGTGAATAAGGCCACCATGAAGACAAGCACAGTAAGTTTTCATTGCCATTATTATGCTGTATAGAGTTGACTTTCTAATCTGCCAACCTTTTAAAAAAGTCCTGCTGTTTTCTCAAACTTTTCTTGAGTGTGGATATATTCTTGTACTCCTCTGACAGGTTAGTACTGCTCATGCCTCGAAAGTTCAGCACCAGACATCATCCACCTCTCCACTCTCAAGTCCCAATCAGACTAGTTCTGAACCCCGGCCACTGCCTGCCCCTCGGAGACCAAAGGTTAACAGCATCTTGAATCTCTTTGGATCATGGTTATTTGATGCAGCATTTGTTCACTGTAAACTTCATAATGGGATAAACAGAGACAGCAGCATGACTGGTAAATATTGCTCAAGAAATATGTTATCACTTTTTTCTTTTCTTTTTTTCTTTTTAATCTTTCCTACCTGCAAGATTAATATGTATCTTCAAAAGCTTTCCGTCCCTGACCAAGCAGTATCTTGTGTTTAACCCCTTCCAGCTGCAGTAACAGAATTTTGGGTTTTCCTACCTGTCCTTTTTATGTCTGTTCTGTGAGGTTTGGCTTTTGTCTGGTTTTATTAGACATACTTCAGGTTAGCCACTTTTTGTTGAATCAAATTCCTTTCAGTAGGTGGCCGGAAGTTCCCTTCATGTCAGCCAGGATAATAATATTGATAGAAAGAATTAAAGATTTGATCAGAAATTTATTCACAAGAAGTGTTTTTCTTAGATCCTGGCAGCCATTCACTTATTAGTACATATAAATATTAGAAAATTTCTGCTTCATGAAAAACTCTTCCCAGGTTTTAATCTAGAGAACTTTATTTCAGAGCACACTTAAAAAAATACCATTGCTCTGGAACTAAATAAGACTGGTGGCAAATGATAACTCAACCCTGATGTCTTCATTTAGATTTTATTACAGAAATGACACTGTCTAAATGAAATCTGATTTATTTTTGTCATCTTACCACTGTACTTGGGAATGGTGGCACAGTGTGCAGGATGGGGGTGTGGGGTAGTCCAGAATGTACTGGATATTTATGACACATCTTCTGGAGAACAGTAATCATGGCTCGCATTTACTGAGCGGCAATGACTATGTGCCCAGGCACCTTGTTATATGCACTAATGAGTGTATTGGTTGTTTGGTAAGAAAGCACTTTTCCAACTGGGGTTAGGTGTAGATTGGGAGAAAAGGTTGCCTAATTGCATTAGTTTATGCATCTCTAGGGAGAATATTAGTTCCAAGGATTAAAACTAATGTGATGACCATAAAGGTCTCTGCTTTCTCTCAGAAATGCATTCTTAGCTATTTTATGAATCATCTCAGAACTAAGGTCTGTATGGGTATTATACATGTATAATCATTTTAGATGTTTTTAAAAATCTTTTAAATAATTTAAAAAGGTGTGAATATGAAGATGGTTTTGGGTATATAATTTGAGATTGCATGTTTGAGTTTACAGATTCCTTTGTTTATTTTCTTCAAATTCAGATACTTTATATTCTACCATTTCCATATTATATTTTATTTACAAGTTTGACTGTAGTGCTTATGTATGGATAAGTAAATGTACTCACTTATGACTAAATGAAAACTTTTAGAAAACCATTTTTGGCTTATATTTTCTTATGTTCATGTGGCTTATATTTTGAGTTTTCTGAACCATGTTTCTATTTATTAATTTGTATTGTATTTTCTATGATGAATCAGTCATATTTTTATTTTTATTTTTATTAAGGTACAATTCTTGTAATTATAACTTGGGTATCAAACTATTGACACTACTACAATCCCTGAATCCAGAATGGCTCAATCTCCTGCCTTCTTGGTGGGCTTGCTTAAGAGAATATACAGATCTTCTCACTCTCTGGGGAGTTTGTAACAGCTTTGCTCACCCTCTTGTGCCAAAAGATGGATAATTCAGATAATATGTGGGCAACCAGTTCTTACTTTTAACTCTTAACATTTTCCTTGGTATGGGAAAGATAGAAGCTCTTCTTTCTCCTGTTGTGTTTGGAGATGAGAAAGGCTGTTACATTACCCAGGAGATAGGAAGTGTCCTGGTATTTCACTGGGTTTGAGTGCTTCTGGGCACTGCTCTTGAACTTGTGGGGTTGGGAGAGGAGGGGCGGGGTAGAAGGTTCAGAAATACTAACACTGCTAGTGTGTTTTCTAAGTACTGGCTGCCATCAAGGAATTCTGCCATGCAGTTCACCTCTAACTTAAAATGTTTGCTTCTATGAACTGGTTAGCTCTAGACTAATGCGACATTACACTGTAGTTTGTAAAAGTAACATTGAGCTGGGAAGGGTTAATGAACTAAAATTTTAACGCACGTTATCGGCAGTTCAAAACCTCAATTCTTTGTAGTTGTGTAATTTTCTTCGTTCATTGTTTTGCATGATACAAAAATCATAATTTTGGATCTGAATGCACAATTTCCTGTTTTTGAATTAGCTTGTGGTATCATAAAGCTTTTAATCTAACTTTTAAAAAGCTAAAAAGCTTCTTAACTTATTGTAAAATTTCACCATCTTTAAAGTATTTTATAATTACTGCTGTCCTTTGATTTGTTTCCATTTATTTCTATTATCTTGCAGCATCTTTTATCCAAATTCTTCTTTCTTATAAATCTTGTAAGTAGGAACCAGAAGCTTCTCCTTAATTGCAGTCATGTTTTTATTTTTTTCATAATTCCATTAAAAATTTTGATTGTCATTGTCTCTTGTAGTTTTTGCACTTGGGAAGAAAAATACTTTTCTGTGTTTTGAATGGGGAAGATTGTTGGCAAAAGCAAATTAATCTGCCTGAATCAGTCCCATTATTTCTGTACACTAGTCTGGTCATGTCATGAATTCCAGGACTTTGCACTAACTGTGTTTTGGCTTTTCTTTTTTTTTTTAAAGCTTTAAGCTTATTTTTATACAGATTTAGTGTTTGATTTGTATGCATTCTGCATGTAGTGTTTTTCAAATGTATTATTGCTGGATAGCTTATTCAGGACTAAAAATGGCTCATGGGAAGTTGCATAAAGATTTATGCTTGACTCTGCATTCTATTAAAACTATTAAAAATAATTTAAACATTTCATGTAGAGTGATAAAAGATTTCAGAGTGATTTTCAATACACTGTGAAATCTTTTGTTAAAAATAAAAGCAACTTTCAAAGGGCTTCTGTTTCAGTGACAACGAATGACCATGATAATCTTTCTTACCAATCCAATTTTCTGATTTATCAACCTCAAGTTAGCTGCTGTCTGTGGTTGTTAAAATTCATTCTCATTTTGCTTGGTTGGGCGATTCTTTGGTGTGTGTTTTGGAGTTGGGTGGGTGGTGGGAATGCTCTCTCTTCCTCCCTATCCATTTCTCATCCTTACTTTGCCCTCTCCCTAAAGTATACAAACTGGCATGGGCTTGCCCATTCGATTATGATGTCTGTCTGGGTTAATGTGTAAATTGCAGTAGCTATTTTTCTTAATGTTTAAGTATCATTCTGCAGGGGGAGGAAAAAGAATAAATAAGAGAAAAGCCAAATTCTTTTATTATATATCTGTATTCACATACAGATATATACACATGTACTCTGCTGATCAAAAATTCAGTTGAAGAATGCTTCTAGTAGAATCTATTAAGCTGATAATACCACTGTAAATTGTTACCATTTTCAAAGAAGATTTCAGAGAGCCCCTTCTGAAAAAAATTAAGACGTAGTTGCCAAACAAAAGCATTATTGAATTCTATTTAACAATTTAATGACACCAACACTTGATCTTTGTGTCCAGGGTCCCATGAGCCTATTTGCATATTGACAAATATAATAAAATGCTCCTTTTCTCTCCTCAGCCATTACAACACAAGCTAGCATGGAGTTTCGACGGAAAGGGTCACAAATGTCCACAGACACCATGGTTTCCAATCCCATGTTTGATGCAAGTGAATTTCCTGATAACTATGAAGCAGGAAGAGCTGAGGCTTGTGGGACACTGTGTAGGATTTTTTGTAGCAAGAAGACTGGAGAAGAGATTCTGCCAGCTTATTTATCCAGGTCTTAGAATTTTTTTGTTTATTTTTCCATTTATATAGTTTTGATAGTGAAACTCTATTATAGCATGGCTTGGTAGGCTGAAGTGATAAGTAAATTTTGGTCTGAAATACTTTCAAATGTCTGTAAGTAATTGGAATTTTGGCTTGAAATTCTTGCATTTTACCTGCCTCATCAAATTTGGCAAAGATCCTTAAGATGCTTTTTATTTTAAAAGTATTATTTATTTAATCATATATGACTTTTCTTAATGATGGAGAGATTTGGAAGGATCACATTAATTAAATAGATTTTTAGCAGAATAGTAGGCATTACCGATGGTCCAGAAATGTTAGCTGTAAATCCGGCCTCTGAGGAGCTTATTTTCTCAAGTGAGCAAAGGCATGTACATAAGTAATAATGATCCATTAGTAATGGGAAGTTGGTAGGAGAAAGGCAGAGGTCAAGTGCTGTGGGCCTTCAGAAGAAGCAGCAGTACACACTTACCCCAGGGGTTCAGAAAAGAGTTACAGAGAATGGGGTGATTTTGCTGGACTTAAGAAGGATAGGTAGCATTTAGTATACATTAGCAGGTTGGGTATGGTCCTCTTACCCAAATAGGTGACTTCAGCTATCTTGGTAAAGGGCTTTGCCAGCCAATTCAGTTGCTCAGGCCAGAAACTAGGAGTCATTTTAGACTCTTCTCCCTCTTCATCTTTAGATGGTGAACCATCTCCTGCCTTTCTGTTACTTAACCCACTTTCTAATCTCCACTCTGTCCTCACCGTGACACTTTAGATCTTGTCACTTTTTTCCTAAATTAACTTGTAGCGGCCTCCTATTTTTCTTGACTCTGTTTTTCCTTCCTGAGCTGATCATTCACATAGCTGCTAAAGTGATCAACAAGACCATTCAGGTGTCCGTACCTGTTGGGTTCTCAGGAATGACGATTAAACTGAATTAGAGGGGACCAAGTGCAGAATCCTGTAGGCCTGAAACAAACTGGTACATGCAGGCAGCTAATCAGGGATATCTTAATGGGTTCTTGGCTTTAAGTAACAGGAAACCCCTCAGTGTGATTTAAGCAAAATGGTAATGAGTTATGAGAAACTGTGCTATTTAATACATTTTAAGGTCAGGGATTGATGTTTTGGTTCCTTACTTTATTTCAGCTCTTGCAGCAGGGCCTCACAAAGGGCAGGGATCAGAAACTAGAAAGTGTTCAAGGAACAAAACAATTTTCTTCCTTTCTGTTTCTCTGTCTTCATGGTCTCCTAGAACTGCTTCATTCTTCTCTGCAGATTATTTTCTTATATTCAGTAGTCTTCTGAGTTCCCAAATTCCATGGCTTTGGTCTAGATGACCAATTTCAGATACCTGGGAAGGAGGATCTGACTAATCAGGTGTCTTCCTGTGCTGTAGTCAACTACAGCTATGTGGGTGGGTCACATGGATGGCTGGAGCTCATCCCTTGTGGTGAGGGCATAGTCTCAGAAGGGAGACTGTGGGTTGGGGAGATACCCCGAAGAGTAAATAGCAATAAGGGAAAAGGCTGTGACCATGAGCTTTCTGTCTGGCTCCTAAGACCAACCGAAAGAGCAGATTTGTTACAGGGCAAGTGATGAACCTAGTTATGAAACTGTTGAGTTTGAGATGCCTATAAAATAAATATTAATCAACAAATATTTATCAAGTTCCTACTATGTGCCAGACACTGTGTATAGGAAGTACTGGAGTAATTAGTACAAATTATCAGTAATCAATAATTAGACATGACCTGCTTTCAAGTATCCAACATACTTTTGGTTAACAGGTCTGGAGCTCACTTGAGAGGCATAGGCTAGAGACTGATTTGATTATATTCAGGAGCTTAAAACCAGGTTAGTGCGAGAGAGAACCTAGAGTGCAGCTTGACAGCCTGTTGGATACCAGGATAGGAGGCAGGAGGAGTAAGAGTGTCTGTTACAGAAAACAGCTACAGAGGTCACAGAAGGAAAAGAAGAGAAGTGAGTAAAGGGTTGAATGCTTTAAAAAAGGCAGAGTAAGTTAAGACTTAGACATATCTTCTGGATTTAACAATTGAGAGGCTGTTGGTTATTTGCTGATGTGGTTTCAACTGAATTCTAGGAGTAGAAGCTAGATTGCAGTGTTTTGAGTAGTGACCAGGAGGTGAGGAAATTGTTTCCGAACAGGTTTGTGGAGAAAAGTGCCTCACAGTAGTAGAAGAGTTGACCGATGCAGTTGCTCTTAAATGATGGAGGATCAAATACGTAGTTGATTGGGGGTTAGGAGAGGAAGCTAAAAGAAGGTGGGCTCAGGTGTATTCCTGAAAGGAGTCTTACTCAGACTCACCTCCATGTCATGGTAAATGCAGATTTCTTTCTTTCATTGTCCCCCCAGAAATGATGGGGAAGGGGAAAAGACACAACACACACCTCTTTTTTTGTTTTTCTTCAGGAAGTGGGAAATACTGCAAAATTTTACTGGTATGGAATTCAGTTCACTAATTCCTCTAGTTTACTGATAATTACTGCAGTCATTTGTTTTGGTGACTTCATATGCAAGCAGCTATAACTGAGTTGCAAAGCTTAACATTACACGAGGGTGAATAGACATGAATCTTTTTTCTCTTTTCATTAGGAAAGATAATTTGGTTCTTAGTATATTTGCTTTTGAATTGTTCTAACTCTAGTAATACCTTTTAAAGGATAGAAATAGTGAAGAGTAGAAATAGACTTTCAGATGACTGTGTAGAAAATATTAATAATTATGAAAATAGTTGACCAGCAGTTTATTTAAAATTTTTTTCTTGCTTTCCTAGATTTTACATGCTTTTAATTCAAGGTTTGCAGATAAATGATTATGTGTGCCATCCTGTCTTGGCCAGCGTTATTCTAAACTCCCCTCCTTTGTTCTGCTGTGACTTGAAAGGGATTGATGTTGTGGTTCCTTACTTTATTTCAGCTCTTGAAACCATTTTGCCTGACAGGTAAGCTCTCACTCTGTTCTAGCATATCACTTGTGGGTTTGACTTGGTCGGTTTTTGTGCTTCCTCCCCAGTTTCCCAATTTATCCTATGCAGTTGTCTTCATCACTCAAGGGGACTCAGGGCACATTACGTGAGCATAGAACATCCAGGCACACCTCATCACTGAATTCATTTAGTTCTAATTTGTCTTGGGCATGTTGAATCCTTTTTGGCCTCGTCTAGAGAGCTAAGAACAAACCAGCCTGGAGGTCCTATTTGTATAGAGTAGATGAAACATTTGAAATCAATCAGTCAGGTTTTAGTTTTCTGTAACAGTTTAACATAGAAGTTCACACACACAGGCAGATTATAAACACCATGGAAAGTAGTTACTTCACTCTTTATGAAACCAAACCCAGTGCTTATATTGTGAAAAACTGACATAATGTATATTTGGCAATAGCTAAAAATAAGCTTTGGTTTGGAAATACCAATAGCTATTTCTTGTTTGTTTGTTTGTTTGTTTGTTTTTGGCAGAGAGCTCTCAAAATTCAAAAGCTATGTAAATCCAACAGAATTGAGAAGATCTTCCATTAATATCCTCCTTTCTTTGTTGCCCCTCCCTCATCATTTTGGCACAGTCAGATCTGAGGTAATGTTTTATTGAAGTTTTTTATATTTTGTATTTTATTTTGTGAACTTAAATCAAGTCAAATTGTATTTTAAAAATGGAACATGAGCTTTTTAAAACTTTTCTCAGATTATTTCAATCAAATCGACAAAGTTGATTTGTTTTTCTGTCAGCCAGCCAGCCTGGCTTGGTCTACTGTTTCAGGTGACAACAGCTAGTGAGAGCTAATAATAACATGTGTTCTGTGAGTTAGTGCCAGACTTAGCACAGGGGCTACTACCAGTCAGATCGAAAGCCTTGCCTGTTAGCCTGGTCTCTGTCCACTGTAGGAGTTGCTACATGGGCATGGTGCACCACAGCAGTTGATGGTGAATATTGTTTGTTTCTTCCATAGGTGGTCCTGGAAGGAAAGTTTAGTAATGATGACAGCTCTTCATATGATAAACCAGTAACTTTTTTGTCCCTGAAGTTGCGACTTGTGAATATACTAATAGGTGCCTTGCAAACAGAAACGGACCCCAACAACACTCAGATGATACTAGGTTTGTGTTCACACGGTTTTTTGTAAGAGAACCCATACGCTGTTGACCCCAGGCATGCTTGGAAGGCAGGGGTCAGTGATGAAGCCTGAGCCCAATACAGCTGTATTTATTCTGAATCAGAGGCAGAATATGTTTGCTTTTGCATGTGCAAAAGTTTAAAGGGGTGAGATGAGGGAAGAGAAAAGTGTTACAGTTATCTTAGGGGGTCATTTTTGCTTAGTTTTATTTGTGTTATTTTTCTCCTTCCCTCTTGTCTTTCCTCTCTCCTCCTTTCCCCTTACTCCCTTCTTCCTTTTCCCTCTTCCTCCCCCCCACCCCCATATCTGCGTTTTCCTCTGCATCCTGCCCATTGTGTCCATGGGGAAGAATTTTGAGTTCGGTACAAATCTGGACGCTGTGTCCGAACCCTGCCGGGAGAAAACTGAAAAATAGCTGTTGCTGTGCTTCCTCCCTTTTTTCTTAATGTTCTCTATTGGTCTCCTGATCATACTGATTCTCTGTTTTTAGTTTTTAAAAATTTTTTAAAGATTTTATTTATTCATTTGTCAGAGAGAGAGAGGGCACAAGCAGGGTGAGCGGCAGGCAGAGAGAGAAGCAGACTCCCTACTGAGCAGGGAGCCCGGTGTGGGACTCGATCCTAGTACTCTGGGATCATGACTTGAGCCAAAGGCAGACACTTAACTGACTGAGCCACAAAGGTGTCCCTGATTCTCTCTTTTAAATGGCTCATCATTATGCTCACTGCCATATATTAAGCCATATATATTGTTTTTCAGCTTGATTACTACAATTGTCTCTTTCTGTACTTCTGACTTTTCATCAAAGCCAAGAGCATGGCCATAGGTACAGGTGCTCTGTGGGCAGTACTAAAGAACTGAATGGTATGGCTTTTATCCTTGAGCAAATCTTATTGTAGAAAGAATATTCTCTCAAAGTGTCAGGTAATAACAGAGGGAAGAGCTGATTGCATGTCTTTTTCAGTGTCTTCACTGTTGAGAGAAGAAACCAACAGCAAGGAAGACCTTCATGGGGGGAAGTAGAGGTTAAATTTGATCTTGTAGGGCAGAATTTGAATAGGCAGAAATGACGTTAGGTTTTCATTTTAGGAGACGAAATGTCATTGCCAAAGAATTGGCGGTGGCAGGAATAGTTGGACTGAGTGTTCTGGGAGTATGTATAGTATGTTATGCAGTGAGAAGGTGGAATAAATAGGGAAGAATAAATCCTTTCATTTTGAAAGAGTTGAAAGGACAGATTAAATCTTGCGATGAGGGGGCCTCCAAGTTGTGTTTTACATTATTGAAATAATGTAGCACTTGAAATCAGATAATTTTCTACAGAGTTGTTTAGTTCTGCCTTACCCTTGCCCTGAAGAGCTCTGTGTGTACATTTCAAGGAAGAGTCACTTGTCAGCTCTTGCCATAGATTGGCAAAGTTGAGTCTGTCCTCTCTTTATTTATTGTGGACAAGAGTACTCCCACACTGAGATGAGAAGCAGTGTGCTAGGCTCATCATCTTATTTCTGTTCTAGCCTTTCTAGGGCTGTAAGTTCCTTGATAGTAAATATGTGCAGCTTGCCTTCAAAATATGCAGCCCTGCATATTTTGAGGGGTAGCCCTCAACCGTGTGGCTTTAATCATTCTTAAAAAGCAGTCTGATCAAGGGCACGTGGGTGGCTCAGTTGGTTGAGCGTCCAACTGATGATTTCCACTCAGATCATGATTTCATAGGTTGTGGAATCAAGCCCCACATCTCGAGCCCCAGGCTCTGTGCCCTGCAGGGAGTCTGCTTGAATTCTCCCTCTCCCTCTACTCCTCCCCCCACACATGCCCTCTCCTTCTCTAGCTTACTTTCCCTCAAATAAATAAAATAAGTAAATAAATAAATAAATCTTAAAAAAAGGGGGGGCAATCTGATCAGAAAGATACAGCTGTGATTTTTGTTATTTTTCCTTTATTTCTAAAAGAACAGAATCAGTTTTTTAAAAGTATTCCATAATATTTTTCTTAGTTTGGGGGTACCGGGATGGCTTGGTCAGTTGGGCATCTGCCTTCATCTCGGGTCATGATTCCGGGGTCCTGGGGCCCAGTCCTGCATTGGGGTCTCTGATTGATGGGGAGCCTACTTCTCCCTTTCCCTCTGCCTGCTGCTCTGAATACTTGTGATCTCTTTCTCTCTCTGCCTCTGTGTCCAATGAATGAATAAAATCTTTAAAATATGTATATATTTTTTTTCTTAGTTTGTAATAGCCTTGAAATTGAGATGCTTACATCTGGTCTGAAATGCCAGTTTAAAAATATCTGATAGTGGTCATATTTTTATATAGTTAAGTTTGACCTTCAAGTTTATTTTAGAAAATGTGGTTTTAAAACACATTTGATGATTGATGTGATGGCAGATCAGAATTAGGGCATTTCTAAAGAGTGTTTTTTTCATACCAGTCAATAGATTTATTAGTAATTTTATGGACATTTCAAGAGTAGTCAGCTAAAATCATATTCTTATCTCTTTTGAGATATGTTAGCCATTTTAATATTCTTATCATATATTTAAATAAAATACTTTTTTTTTCCTCTTACAGGGGCAATGTTAAATATTGTTCAAGATTCAGCACTTTTAGAAGCCATTGGTTGCCAAATGGAGATGGTAAGAAGCATACCACATGTTATCTGTCAGAATATCAGCATTTGATTAGATGTAAATTGCATTCCAAAATGTTTGTCCTTGTGATTTTTAAAGGCATTTGTTTCTAAATTCAGCTCATTGATTCAGAAGGATCATATTTTAAAATAAGTATTTTGAGGTTTTTTTACCTTTCAGTGTTTCCTTAGCCATTCATCAGGTCCTTGAGAGATTCTGCACGAGAGACATTTCAGCCAAATGCAGTCTTTATTTCTGGACAGTCTCTACTTAAAACTCTTAACTTCTTTATTGTGCTGGTGAACTGGCTTGAATAATCTAAGAAAAGTCCCCTATTCTATAATTCTTCCTAGTAGATCTAATGCTGTCCAGAAACAAGCATTGAGTTTATTCTTTTCCATCTCATCAGCTCTTTGAGCTTCCCTAGACCAAAGTTTGAAGATCCCCCAAAGCACCAATATTTCCAAATTAAAAAAGCTTCCTAGAGACTCCCACTGCCCGGTGCTTCTGGCTTCAGAATAGGTGACCTCCCACCTGGAGTAGAGACAGGAGAGTGGAGAAATAGAGTATTCTGGAATGAGCTGGATAGATACAGGATGGGTGATCAAATTATTATTAAGGAAATTATATTTGTATCCTAGTAGGTGGCTAATAATAATCAGCTGATCTGGATATAATGAATTTTGTTTATTGGGGGAAAAATGAGAGAAACCTTTAACAGATAGCCCCTACATGTCTAGGAGTTAATCTTTATACTAACCATGATATCTTATTGTTTGCATTCTATGATGTAACTACATTTGAAAGTTACTATTGCTTATTTGTGTTGTATTTTTAATAAGCTTGTACTCCTGAAGTTTTGCATAGGAGGTACTGGGTAATTCTTAAAGGACCCAGAGTCATTAGCTAGTGAAGTCAAGTGAAGATAGAAAAGGACTTCGGATGCCCCTTTGCAAAGAACACTGCGGAATGGACACCCATAATCCTCAGACCCTTCATACCCTTTAGTAGATGGTGTCTACGCAAAAACACCGGAGTAGTTTTAATCCCTGGTCAGTTTTTATCTGTGTATCAGGTCGTGCTCCTTCTCTGGCCCATTCCGTTTTATCAACATGGCTTTTAGTGCCTGACTTCTCTCTGTACTTGTCAATTTCGGGTGTAGTCCTCAAATATTTGATCCATTTTTATTTAACCAGGGTGGTGGAGAGAATAACCTGAAGAGTCACAGTCGCACTAATAGTGGTATTAGTTCGGCAAGTGGTGGAAGCACAGAGCCCACAACTCCTGACAGCGAAAGACCTGCTCAGGCTCTCCTCAGGGATTATGGTAAGCCGTGTTTGTTTTTTTGAAATCCAAAGACTGTTGAGTAACTTTTAATGCCCAGATACATAAAACAAAATCTTTTTAAACAAATTTGAATGTTCGTGATTTTAATGTATTTAAGTATTATACTTAAATGTATAAATTAAGTATAATACTTAGTAACCTAATACGTATTAGTCTAAAAGGAAACAAATCTTGTAAAATTACCTCTATCGCTTTTAGTAACTAGATTTTGGGTAGTTTTTTAGATGTTATAAATGATTACAGTGGGTGGCAATTTATGGGTTCTGTTACCAGCTACTGGTTATACAGAGCAGTAGAATGTGCTCTGCCTCAGGCTCTAATGAGAGAGCCAGCACATCAATTATTACAGTATGGTAAGTGGAGTGATAAAATGTACATTAGAACCCAGAGAAGAGAGTCTTTGTGTTCAAAAACTACACCCTACTATAACTGGTTAGATTTTTTAGTCACAAATTTTAAGCACAGGTGAAGAAGCATTTGCTAGCAGAGCATCCTATTCAGTGATGTCCTTTACCTTGGCAATTACTTTATGGGTTCTGTGAATTTGTGGGTGCCTTTTCTTTTATACATAATTATTAATATCGTGTTGAATCTCGGAGTGCTAGTCCAACATGACTGGAGTGAAATCTAGATCCTTAGATGTGAATTCAATTTTTTAATTACCTGGAGAATTCATGAGCCTAGGAGTCTAGGCATGTTTAAGTTTGCTTTCAGTATCCTTGAGCATGTCAAATACATTGGGTCATCGTGTGGTTATTCAGCAAATTTAAAAATTGCATTTATGAAGAAGTTATTTAAGTTGTTATTCATTATGTTCATGGGTTTAAATATATTATAGGTGAAAATTTCTTTTTCCTGCTTTCTAAAACACTTCTAAAGAACTTTTTGAATTATTGTACGTGTTCTAATATAAATGTTTGAAGTGATTATTGTTTGTTTCAGCCTTTTGAACTGGTGTTAGTTCTGGTTGTAATGTCGTTAAGTAGTTTTTACTAAGAAATCCAGATTTGTGTTAGTGTCGCATGAATGTCTCTCTTTAATGATCATTCCTTTTTCTGTTGTCACTGCCCTCTTTCTGATAGGATCGACAGGTATAATGTCCCTAAAGCTTCCTTTATAAATTCAATTTAATTTGTCCTAATTTTTTATTAGCTAAGTAGTGATTACTTTTAAATGTAGAACTGGAGGCCAAATAAAAACATGGCGACTTGGTTATTTAATTCTTTTAGAAGTATTAAAGTAGCTTTAGAGAATTAAATGTCAAAATATGTTTGAGAAGGCATTGCATGTGACTTTTGATAGTTTAAACCCTGAAAATAATTTCAGCAGATGTTTTAGGGTATTCTTAGTGTCTGAGGAGATTCTAAAATGTGAATTTTCTTTTCTGTAAAATTCCAAGGATATAATTGATAGCGTTTTCATTGTTTTTTTGAAAATGTAACTCTCTATGAGTTAATTAAGAAATTCTAAGATATATTGAACTGCCAAATCCTAGTGGATGTCTGTGTAAAAGTACCTGAGCTGGGAGCTAAAAGCTGCTTCAGTCCAGTGTGTGTGCCCTATGCACTGTTGTTCAGTCAGGCTTGATGCTCAGGCCCATGGGGTGGGGAGCATAGCACTGTGTGGGTGCCCGTCATGCTCACTGTGGCTGCTGTGGTCTGTGCCTGGTGGAATGCTGTGCTTCTTGTTACTAATGCTTAGTTGTTTTCCCTCCCTGTGGGATGTGGCATTGGGGTTATATCCTAGCTCTTAATACAGATTCAGCTGCTGGGCTCCTGATTCGCAGCATTCATCTTGTCACCCAAAGACTCAACTCCCAGTGGCGCCAAGACATGAGCATATCACTGGCAGCTCTAGAGCTCCTCTCTGGCCTGGCAAAGGTGAGGAGAACAGTCCCTTTATTTTAGCCCAATAGCTGTGGACCGTGAGTCCTTTCCCTGTATTGCTTTACTCCTTGATGTGGGTATTACATTGTTGCTCATACTCAAACATAGTTTTATCCAGAGTGCAAAAATGGGCCTCCAAGTGAAATTTTACAGCGTGAACATAACTTTTTAAAATAGGTTCAAAGATTATGAATGATACTTTTGCTGTTAAGTTATAGGAAACATTTCAATACTTGCTATTTATTTGCATGTGATAATAGAATACCTGTTGGTTTTGTATTTGCTTATAATACCCTTACATTTTCAACATGACATTTTGTGTCATTGTAGGATCATCTGATTTTAATAAATGCACACAAAAATATGAATACATCTCAAAATATTTATGCTGAATAGAAGCCAGGCCCCCAAAAAAGAATACATTTTTTTTTATATAAAACTAAAAAATGCAGATTAACCTGTATTGACAGAACGCAGATCAGTAATAACCTAAGGAAGGGGCATAAAGGAAGTGGAAGAGGGGATTAGAAGGGTACATGAGGACATTTTGGGAGGTGATGGATAGGTCTACTGTTTTGATTTTGGTGATAGTTCACAAGTGTATACTTATGCCAAAATTTTATGAAATTGTTCACTTTAAATAGTTTTAAATAGTTTAAATAGTTTCCTGTATGTTAATTATACCTCTGAGCAGCTACACAGAACTTTATAGCCCATAGAGCATCACTGAAGAGTTGGGTTAGGGGGCTTCAGAAATGTATACGCATCCCATTGCCAGCTATTCTTTTGATAGCTGGCAATGATGAATAGGTACACCCCAGGAATTTGGGTTTTTAGCCAATGAAAAAATATGCTAAAATGAAATAACTGTTTTATTTTATTTATTTATTTTTAAAAAGATTTTTATTTATTTATTTGACAGAAATCACAAGCAGGCAGAGAGGCAGGCAGAGACAGGAGAGGAAGCAGGCTCTCTGCTGAGCAGAGAGCCTGATGCGGGGCTCAATCCCAGGACCCTGGGATCATGACCTGAGACTAAGGCAGAGGCTTTAACCCACTGAGCCAGCATGCTTTCTGATTTTATAGAGTATTATGATATATCTGAAATATTCTGTTCCTCTGTATAAATATTTTATTTATTTATTTTTAAGATTTATTTATTTATTTTAGAGCGTGGGAGGAAGGGCAAAGGGAGAGTGGGGAGAGAATCTCAAGGACACTCCACCCCCTAGCACAGAGCCCGACATGGGACTTGATCTCACAATCCTGAGATCATGACCCGAGCCAAAATCAAGAGACGGACACTCAGTCGATTGAGCCACCCAGGTGCATTTGTGTAAATAATATTTTAAAAAGTGAGGCTTCCTGTGGTGTATCCCAGTGTCAGAAAGGTCAGGCTTCAGTGTAGATAGTTTGAAATTAGTACAATGGTTCCTGGCTAACTGTGTTCCCCATATGAATATGCTCAGGTGAAGGTGATGGTTGACTCTGGAGACCGGAAGCGAGCCATCAGTTCCGTGTGCAGCTACATTGTGTACCAGTGTAGTCGGCCAGCTCCTCTTCACTCCCGGGATCTGCACTCCATGATAGTAGCAGCTTTTCAGTGTCTCTGTGTCTGGCTGACAGAGCACCCTGATATGCTTGATGAAAAGGTTAGATTACTAGATCTTAAAACAGGAAGGAGAAACAAAAATGTGTGTTGGGACGACGCCTCTTAAAAGAGAATATTTAAATACAATATTACATACTTTAAACTGAATATACTTGTTATATTTCGGTAGAACACTTGTCCTTTTGAGCACAGCTCAAAAATTGTCATCATGCTTAATTAATTAATTTGGTTGCAAATTAATGCAATAGAGAATTTCTTTTGAAAGATAGAGCCTTCACTAATTTATCTGAACTATCAAGAAAATTCTTTCCTGAAAGGATGTGGTAGTTTCAAGATGGCCAAAAGGCACTTTGGTCACTCACTGCCAAACTTTGAAGGGCAGTTGGTAGCCAGGCTGAAAACCTAGAGCACAACTTGCCATTAGTGGTCTGGCTGTATATAAAAATTTCGTTTCACATATTTTCCACTTTCAGTTAGGCACAGATATCTAAGCTGGTTTCTCTTGCCATTGTTCCATTTAATATCTTCCTTATAGGGAGGCAGACAGTTATCAAGAATTCATAGTATAAATAAGAGGTATCAGGCCCATTGAGTATTTATGGAGAGCTTTATATCATTTTAAAATAATATTGTTGATTAAATCTTCGTTACTTTCATTATGGCTTCTAAAGTTATGGTACCAAAGAATTGCTTAAGAATGTCTGTAACTGATGAACTTCCCTTTGGATAATCTAATGTCTTAATGTCTTAAACCACCCCAGGTTTAACTGAATTACTGTTCTCTTAAACTTGGGCTTTCGTGATTTTTGTAGTTTGTGGTAATTTTATAAGAATTATGATTGATAAGTTTGAATTCAATTTATCATTATTATTTAACTGAGCATTCAAATACAGTACTTTAAAGAAAAATTAGGGGGCAAAGTTTATTATATTATTGTGAAATTAATGTACACCTATTAAAGTGAGAAGGAAACTGCAGCCCACCACTAAAACACAACCACTATTGCATATTACTGTAGTTCCTTATCTTCTCACAAAATAGGTGTATTACAAAAACTGATTTGCCTTTCCTGCTTCTAGGACTGTCTTAAGGAGGTATTGGAGATTGTGGAACTGGGTATTTCAGGAAGTAAGTCCAAGAACAGTGAGCAAGAGGTCAAGTACAAAGGAGATAAGGAGCCAAATCCTGCGTCTATGAGGGTAAAGGATGCTGCAGAAGCCACCCTAACATGGTATGAAAGTGACTGCAAAGGGATTGCGCCTGGCAATTAGATGGGGTTAGCTATGATCCATGTTGTTTCCTCTCCTCCCCAGTTGTTCAGCATGAAGTGATGTAACCTACTAGGATGCTTTTTCTTTAGAAATAAAATGGAAAGGAAAAACTTATTTTGGGGACCAAAAGAAACCAGGAATGTGGGGCTGAGAGTTTGGGTCCTTGTTTTTCTGTGCTAGGTGGCATTAATTGAAGTCTTATCATGTTAGAGTTAGAAAGGATCTTGGGAGACCCTTACTCTTCCTCTTCGCTTTGGTGCCTGAGTGCAGAGATGGAATGAATCTGCCTGAACTCCCTCTATTAAGTCTCCTGTTTCTTAGCTCAGTGGTGTGTATTCTGTTACATTTATAGTACATATTAGAAGTGCATTCAGTCAAGATTTATGAGCTCCCTCTTATGAACTTGTAATAGGATTGTAAAGATACATCAGGTTTGGTCACCACCCTAAAAGAGCTTCTTGTCCACTATGGAAGATGAGAGATGAGCACAAATAGCTATAATGTTAGGTGGAGAGTAAGTGCTGCAGGAAGAGACGCATAATAACATGCTTGACAGGGGAAAGGAATACTACTAGACAAGGGGAAATCAAAGATTTCTAGAGAAGATGACTTTGGATCTGACTTTTACAGGATGGGTGAAGTTTCATGAAAGCTGGATTACAGAGTAGGTAAGGCAGCAAGAAGATTTCTAATCATTTTGGTAGTGAGGGGATGGAGACAGGTTGGAACCTTAGCAAAGGTTAGAGATTTCTTAGCAGAGATTCCTGAGAGAGTTTGCATTTGGCTGATAAGTGGGGAGAGTGGAAAGAGGGAAGGCAGGCATTTATGGATTGAAGGGAAGGGTTGAGTGGAGATGATTAGGTAGAATCACAATACAGATGGAAAGATGGGGCTTATGAAAGGGTAATTGTGGGTGAAGACACAGAAAACATAAAAGCAGGAAGGAGGATGTCAGGTCAATCAGTATTGGCTCATCTTGATCTTAAAGTGGTGGGCTACACTGCTTGCAGATTTGTATCTAAATCAGCCCTTACCAGGATCCCAGAATCTTTTGAGTTCATTGGTCTATTTATTACTTGGGGCATGGACAGTAAAGTTGGATTTATTTCTCTTACTCATGGGCTTTGGTCATTCAGTACATTTTTAGAATCATGCATGCATTAGTTCAGTCTTGCTTACTGCACTAGCTAGGCTTTCTGTGTGCTTCTGGAGGTTTGGCTAATAGTTAGAAAATCAGAAAAATGTGAATGCAATTGTTTAAACATGTACTTACACAGGCAATGAGTACTAGAAATAATAAAAGTTGGGAGGGGTACCTGGATGGCTCAGTATCTAACTCTTGGGTTTTGTTGTTGAAGATTTTATTTATCTGAGAGAGAGAGTGTGCGTGAGCAGAGGAAGGACAGAGGAAGAAGCAGACTTCCCCCGAGCAGGGAGCCTGATGCGGTGCTTGATCCCAGGGCCTTGAGCCAAACGCAGACACTTAACTGACTGAGCCACCCAGGCATCCTTCCAGCTCTTGGTTTTTGGCTCAGGTCATGTAAGATTGAGCCCCGAGTTGGGCTTTGCGGCCAGCGGAGAGTCTGCTCAATGATTAACTTCCTCTGCCCCTCCCCGCACTCGTGTGTGTGTGTGTGTGTGTGTGTGTGTGTGTGCGCGCGCGCGCGCTCAGGCACGCACACTCCTGCATGCACGCATACTCCTGCATGCAATCATATGAGCATGTGCTCTCTCTCTTTCAAATAAATCCTTAAAAAAAGTTCAGAGAGAAGACCATTTGGGGGTGGGGTAGGCTGAAAAGCTTTATAAAAGAAATGAGCTTTAATATGTGCCTGGAAGAGTAAGAAGGATATGGAGAGAAAGAGGGAGAGCCGTTCTCACTGGGAACTCTGTATTATACAAAAGTTAAGTTGGCTGTATCCTAGCCTGGGTGGGGCATTCCTGTGAGAATATGACGCTGTAAGAACTGGATATGTGCTCAGAATGAGTAGTGAGCCCTGGCTTCCAGGCAACCTAGCTAGTGGTTATCTAGGTGGTTCATCTGTTTTATCTGCAGCTGTCTTGTTTCTTCTGCCAACTCCACAAATGGTATCTCCAGTTACCAGTTCTGAAGAGGGCCCTGCAGAGTACCGTCATCATGAAACCTGTCCCAAATCAAATCTCTTCCTCAAAATTACTGCTTTTTGTCTGCATCGCTGCTGTTTTCCGGTTATGCAAACACAAACCTTTGTCTTTTTTGTCTGATTTATCTCTACTTTTTCTGTCATTCCCTATATGAAACCAGTGACTAAGTCCAGTAGACTTTATTTTTAGAAGTATTTCCTCCATCCCCTCTAACCTCGGCATCCTGGTCTAGGCTCTTCTCACTTCTTGCCTAATTTCCCTGTTTTTAATCTCACCCTGTTCATCTTGCATTCCATTTTTTAATTCATCCTTAGGCACTGTTGTTTTTTTTTTTTTTTCCTGCTGCTTAAGCGATTGAAAACTGAATAGATCTCTGTTTCCTGCCATGTTGTTTGAACTCCTTGTCTGGTTGTCAAGTCTCTCCTTATTCTGTCCCCACTCATACTGTCTGATCTTTCCCAGCATATCCCTTTTGCCGTAGAGGGACCTGACAGGCCATTTGTGGGCATGCTCATACCTGTCTCTGTGTGTTCCCTGGGTTTCATGACTTCCCTCTTGCCCTTGTGCTCACATCCTCCCCTGCTGTGTTCACATCACATTTGGCTAGCTCCAGGGGACGTTCCTTGGCTATTCTGCTTCTTAATGATAACTCTTTTCTGTGCCTCTGTGCTCATTCAGTCAGACCCAACTGCATAGTATGGAATTCTATACTGTCACGATCATATCTGGTTATATTTGATACATGCTAGTGTTGTCTCCCTAACTTGGGTAGAGGCGACATTTCTTCTTCAACACCTCTCACAATGCTAAGAATAGTAGCATCTTCTCCTTCATGTAATAATACAAATTCAGAGTTAGGACTCTTGGAACACCTTTCAGCAGCCCCTCTGCCTAAGCCACCTGTAAGACACGTATACTGAGTTATTTAGTCTCCAATTTTGAGATACTCTAACCCCCAGGGTTCCCATTTCATTTTTATTGTTTGTTTTTTTTTAAAGATTTTGTTTATTTGACAGAGATCATAAGTAGGTACAGAGACAGGCAGAGAGAGAGGAGGAAGCAGGCTTCCTGCTGAGCAGAGAGCCCGATGTGGGGCTTGATCCCAGGAGCTGAAGGCAGAGGCTTTAACCCACTGAGCCACCCAGGTGCCCCTTCATTTTTATTTTTAAAATTTTGATGTTTACATTGAACTGAAATCTCTCCCACTTTAACTTCTACTCACTATTGGTTCTAATTCAAATTCTTGCTAGTGGAGTCCTCTTTCCAGGTGGTAACAATGTCTGACAATAGTGCTCATGAAGATAGTGATTTGTTTTTGTCAGTATGTTAAGCTATTTGTTATAAGAGCTTCAAGTACCTTTGTCATCCTGGTCATTCTTCTCTCAGCGGTGTGGGTTTCACTACTTAGGTACCTCTTAAAGGCACTGAGTATAATATTTTAGGTGAGTTGGATGATCTTTACGCTCTGTAGGATATTATATTTGGATTCAAATGTACTTTGAGGTTGCATTGGGTTTTGAGAACTTACAATTTGCATGAAGTAACTAAAATTAGAGTCTTTTTCACACATTTATCTTTTGTCTGTTTTTCTCATCGTGTACTTACTTGTTTGGGGTATTTGGATGTACAGAACTCTACATTTAAACTTGAGATCTCTTTATGTAAGATTTACCTCATTGTTTGGATCCCAACTCTTCCTGTGCAGTTCAACTTTTGGTCAACCGCAGATTTAATGAGCCTGCTATGTGTGTGTCCTAATCAAAGACACTGGTGTAAATTCTAAACAGAGGTAGACCCACAAAGCACACCATCAGAGATTTCCATTCAGGTTGACAGGGATTTTTCAATGTCATCTCCAAGGTTATCACCATACACTGTCAAATACTTGTATGTCTTGATTTCAGAGACCATGCTCTGGCCTTTCCAGTCTAGTCACTATCAGAAGAGAAAATGTTGTTAGGCTGGTGTGATTTGATCTCAGTAACCCATTTCCTTGCCAGCAGCCCATTTGATATTGTCTTAGAATCTTGCTTGGAATATGCCAACTCACATGGTCCGTATACTTTGTGACATCTGTCTTTGTCCCATATTAGAAAACTGAAGTCACATTTTCCCATTTCTGCTTTGCTGGTATATCACCTGTTTTTCCACAAAACCTTAGGGGCTTGAACTCACCATCAGATTCTCCTGGTCTTTGAAATTTTTAGACCATCCTCCTCCTAGGAGGAGAGAAAATTTTAGATGGAAAACTTCTCGAGCAGTTGCCTTCCATTGTCAGAGGTATTTGCATTCAGGCATTAGAATGAAGGAGAAAGGGAGAAGCCACTCAAGCTAAGGATTGAGATGACAAAAATGTGTTGGGGAGCGTTAGTTTTCCAAATGAAGTGCGTTATTGGGAAGGCCTCGTGGCACACTGGTAGTATGTTGGACTCCAAATGAGATGCATATGAGGGGTCAGGTGATACTAGGACCACAAGGTAAAATCATTACAAGATACTTTCTGTGCTTCAGTTTCTTCATTATAAAATGGGAATAATAATAGTACTCACCTCAGAGGGTTGTTCTGATAGCTAAATAAAAGAATGTGTGTAAAGTGCTTAGACCAGTGCTTCATGATAAGAGCCAGTTATTATTTTTTATAGTTTTTAAAATTATGTTGTGTTAGTCACCATACAGTACATCATTAGTTTTTGATGTAGTGCTCCATGATTCATTGTTTGCGTGTAACACCCAGTGCTCCATGCAATCTGTGTCCTCCTTAATACCCACCACCGGGCCAACCCATCCCCTCACCCTTCTTCCCTCTAAAACCCGAAGTTTGATTCCTGAAGTCCCTAGTCTGTCATGGTTTGTCTCCCCCTCTGATCCCCCCCCTTCATTTTTCCCTTCCTTCTTCTTATGTCCTCCATGCTATTCCTTATGTTCCACAAATAAATGAAACCATATGATAATTGTCTTTCTCTGTTTGACTTATTTCACTCAGCATAATCTCCTCCAGTTCCATTCATGTTGATGCAAATGTTGCGTGCCAGTTATTATTACTGTTAATTGAATGTATGCAGAAATCTCTATGGACATAAACATTTCTGAATGTTAAGTTTTATTTGGTTGAATTCTGGTTTACAAAACATTTTTTTCTTAAATATTCTTATTTAGTAATTATAGGTGTTTTGTAAATTGTACTATTAGTGCCTTCAGTCTTTTTTTTTTTTTTTAAGATTTTATTTATTTATTTGACAGACAGGGATCACAAGTAGGCAGAGAGGCAGGCATCGGGGGAGGGGAAGCAGGCTCCCCGCTGAGCAGAGAGCCCGATGAAAGGCTTGATCCCAGGGGATCCTTGGGATCATGACCTGAGCTAAAGGCGGAGGCTTAACCCACTGAGCCACCCAGGTGCTCCAGTGCCTTCAGTCTTATCTGTAAAATTAGGATAATGTCTCCTCAGGGCCACACAGTGAGAAGGCAGCCAGCCCTGGTTCCTGGTTGCTTAAAAATCACTTATCACATCTGACTCTGAATTTCCTAATCTGAAATACTAGAATACTTTAGCTAGCATAATCCTGACACCTGGAGCACTTAACATATTTAAAAAATATGTTTATCTTTGGGAGTGCCACAGTTTCAAAGTGTGATGAGTGGGTTCTCTGGATAGCAGACTCTGAGAGAAATTTCCTTGCAAGAAGTTTATTGGAGGGTGCTCTTAGGATCAGCCTCTCTGTGGGAGTGAAGGAGGCAGGACTGAGCAGAGGGAAGCACTAAGCTGGGGCAGGTGCAACAAAGAGCTCTGGGGCTGGGATGGGACTTGATACCCCCACATCACCCTTTCTCTGACCGTGAGCTGTCCCTGGACAAAGCAGTGAATTGGGGTGAGGTACTGCTTCTTGGCTGAGAACAAGTCCTAGAGAGGGATGCAGCTGGAAGCTGTGGCCACCATCTCTTTGCATCTGGGGGACGGGAGCTTTCAGTCTTGGAGGCAGGAATCTGGGGCGCACACCATGACACCTGCCACAGGGAGTAAATCTGACTTGCAAAGTGGAAGCATGGCTGTGGTCACTTAAAATTCAAAGAGCCACATTGATGCATGAGATAAACTTAAGGTTTTGCTTTGGGGATTAACTGTTATCTTTTACATTCTCCATAGTATTATGCAGTTGCTTGGAGCATTTCCTTCACCCAGTGGTCCTGCCTCTCCTTGTAGTCTGGTGAATGAGACCACTTTGATTAAATACTCCAGACTGCCAACCATAAACAAGCATAGTTTCCGGTACTTTGTCTTGGATAACAGTGTCATCCTGGCAATGCTGGAGCAACCTCTTGGAAATGAACAGAGTAAGTTTCAGCACTTTGGGCCTTTTCCACTGCTAAATTGATATGTTCGTCAGTGCTACTCTCGGGCTGTTTCCAGGAATAGGGAAGGAAAAGGCTACAAATGCACACAATTCTGCATTTGTCAAAATGTCTCCTAGCTGTGTGATAATAGTAACTGGAAAAGAGAGGGTCAGAAAATAGAATACATATATTAAATAGAATCTCTTAGACGCTCTTTGTCTGTATCTGAATACCAGAAAGGAGCTCTGTAGTTCTATAAAAAGCTTATTTTAGTGTTGTATTTTCTCTTTTGTACTGTGCATAAAAATTGTATTACTCTTCTTGAACTTTGGATCCTGCCCTTCTCCTCTTGTGGCCCTCACTCCCCGTTATTGTATTTTAGCTATCTGTGCCACCCAAACAGGTGGGAAATTTGAGGAGTCATCTTGGCCTGCTCCTTCCTGTTTCTCCCTTCCATAATTGGTGTCCAAATTTCTGCTTACCCAGTGACTCTTGCATCTTTTTTTCCTCTGCATCCCTCCCAATACATCCAAATGCAGGGCCTTATTATTTCTTATTGAGATTATTATAGTTACTTCCTATAGTTGCTTCCTATTATAGGTCTGATTCCCCCTCCTCTGGTTCCAAAATGTCTTATCCCTACCCCGTCCTACTTACTGCCACCATTATAGTCTTCCTCAAGTATGGATCTCACCATGCCATGCCCTCCTGAAAACCCTTAAATGATTTTCCATTGACACAGCGTACACTTGTTCCCTCCTCAACTCCCCCTCCCCCCCACCCCACCGTAAGCCATCTCAAGGTATATGACTACCACTGCAACCCAGGCTACTCAGAGTACATTTTTTTTTCTGATGGCTGTTGGAATCAGCCAGTATGTAAAGGAAGCATGTTCTCAGAGATCTCCTTATTTCTGGGAAAGTGAAGGTTATAGAACCTATGGGCAGAGAGGGTCCAGGGAATTCCCACTGTTCCTTCATTAACAGGTAAAGAAATGGAGGCTCAGAGAGGATGTATATGACTTGGTCAGGGTTACTCAAGAATGTGAGGTGTGACTAGGACTAGTGTCCAAATTTTCTGAGTCTTATACTGTGCTTTTCTGTTGTCCCTGCCCCGTAGGATTTTCTCAGTAATTAAAGACTTATTAACCTTTACAGAGGTGAACAGGGTCTTACAGTCCCATGCAAATTCTGTTGAGACTATATGGGTAGGATCTCATGAATCCATAAAATGAAAATGAGACATTTCCCTACAGTTCAGAAATGAATGAATACCATCACAGGTTTCCCTTGTATGGAGCTAAGGTACCATGACTTTAATGTAAACAGATGTGGCCTTTAATCCTTTCCCAGCTCCAGAAGTTCTAGTTCCAACTCTTCCCTGCATGTGCTTCTTTCTTCCCTGTCCCACACCTAGGGCTTGCATCACTTTTTTCCCTGGCTTGTGCCTAGAATTCATGACTCCTCCAGCCTTCTACTCCCGGGCCACTTCCTGAGGAGTGCAAAATCTCAGTGTTCCCTTTAGGTTTCCTAGCCTGAGGGGTAAGTGTCAGTCCTCTTCCAGATTTTTTAGGACTTACCTACTCTCATTCCTAGTAATTTCACTGCATTGGAAGTGTACTAAAAATATAAATAGTTGGGATTTTATAGATTTGCAAGAACATTTTGATAGTTTATTATAATTAGTAGCAGAAGAAGTGAGAAAGAAAAGTTTGAAAAAGTTTGACTCCCATACCAGGACGAAAGAAGGGAATAAAAAGGAGGATCTGGGTCACTCGGGAAGTCCATCCTGAGTTTCTCCCCATTGCCCTCCCCCTGCCCAACTCCCCGCCCCTGAACTTCCCCTGGGTTAGAACAGGGACCGCCTGTGGTGGATAGCAGTACAAAGGCATGGGGGAATGCAGCAGCAGCACTGCTGACACCCAGTCTGTTTTTCTGGACTAAGAGTATTAGCTAGGACAGGGTCTGCCAAAAATGTGTGTACCACTGGAGGCATGTGAGATGGTGTTAGTCAACACGTTGATAAACATAATTTTATGGATTGTTAAATATGTGTTTAAAAAATAAATTATTAGCACACCAAAACTCACAGTTTTCCACTTAAAGATACACAGTTTCCTTTTTGAATAGATTTAAATTTAAAAAAGAAAGTGATTGATACAAAGTAAGATAATAGTACTTACAGTATGTGGATATGGCAGAAACGGCAGAGGTAGCACACAGACAAGAACACTGTGGCTTTCAAACACTGTGCTGGGCTTGGATTATTAGTGGTTGATAATACGTGTATTTTAAATGGTTGTTGTCTGAAATAAAAACTTTTTACACCAATATTTTATTTTAGATGATTTTTTCCCCTCTGTCACTGTGCTGGTCCGGGGAATGTCTGGAAGACTTGCTTGGGCACAACAACTTTGCCTTTTACCCAGAGGAGCAAAAGCAAATCAGAAGGTATCCATTTGAAATTACAGGGAAGTGACTAGGAGCGAGTGAGTGTGTGTGTGTGAGTGTTTGTGTGTTATGATTTAAAGGTTAGATAACATCTCAACAAAGTTCATTGGTAAATGTTTTTGATCCTAGCCAGGGTTCAGTCATTTGGTTCACATCAGAATCACCTTAGGAGCCCATAATTCCCACATCCACTAAATTAATCTTTAAAGACATCTTCATGACAGGTATATTTTCAAAAAGCTTTCCAGGTGATTCTGAATCTGCTTATGATTAAGAACTGTTCTGAGCCATGGCCTCATTTTTTTATGTTGTGTTAAATATAATAAAACTCAGGTATGTGCTGTATAGGAAAAAAATTTGGCCAGACTCTTGCTCTCTCTGGCAATAGGACTTAGTTTCACGTTGTTTTTATATGATTTATTCCTGTATAATTGGTAATATGCCCTATAATTTTTTAATATGCTATATAATTTAATGAAATCTTATTTGGGATGGCATAGTTTATTTTCTTTGTACTGTTTGTAATTTTGTGAATAAAAATTTGCTCATGGGAGAAGGTTGGAAAATTCAGATAATAAGGAAGAAATTTTGAGTCATCTGTACCCTGACTTTCCAGATGTAGTCATTAAGTATTTTAGTAGATTTCTTTACAATCTTTTTTCCCTTTCTGTACACGGTAATATTAAATGGAGTTTGAGTCCTTTTTGTATACTGTTCTTTTCACTTAACAACATTAGAAGCTTTTACTTACATTATAAAATTTCTTTAAAACATGACTTCATTAAATGTGTCACCAGTATTTAAGAGAGACAGCCACAAAATTGGAGCATGTGTCTAAAATCTTTTAACATCCTAGGTGTCTGGTTTTTTTTGTTTTGTTTTGTTTTGTTTTTTTTTAAAGATTTTATTTATTTATTTATTTGTCAGAGAGAGAGAGAGGGAGAACACAACCAGGCAGAGAGGCAGGCAGAGGCAGAGAAAGAAGCAGGCTCCCTGCTGAGCGCGGAGCCCAATGTGGACTCAATCCCGGGACCCTGGGATCATGACCTGAGCTGAAGGCAGCAACTTAAACAACTGAGCCACTCAGGCGTCCCCTAGGTGTCTGTTTTAGATGAACTGTGTTTCTGCCCTGTGAGGAGCACACCCCTGTTTTTGCTTGGTGGCGTCATGCAGATCACATTCTGTCAGCACCGTAAGCCAGTAAATTAGCATTAAAGACAGGAGGAAGGAGATTGGGAAAGGAATTAAAATTTGTTGGTGCTTTAATATGTGTCTTGTACATTTTTATTTAATCATTACAATATCCTGATGATGGATATTTGCACTTTTCAGATGCAAAAACAAAAGCCACGCAGTTAGTGGATATTAAAGCAAGGATGTGGAGCCATGAGCATCTAGATTTGGTTTTCAGTTAGACTCTGTCTAGAGAGGCCCAGGGGACCCAAATTTCTGCTTTCTTTATATCGGATGTTTTGAGAACCTTTGGAGAAGAGGGAGATTTGAGCCTTAAGTTCTGAACTGCTTTATCCATTGGTTTACCACTTATTGGAGATTCTGGCCTGAGGCTGTTAGAGATATACAACCCATAAGTCACAAAATCTGTAAAATGATGAACATTTTTATAAAAATAAAAGAGTACACTGGTATACGGGCTGTTTACCTTTAGTGTTAACAGTGGTATTTGCAGATTCTTCCTGAGTTCCAGTGTTATGTAATCCTAGGGAAACAGGCATCTAAGAGACCAGGAAAGTATGTATCATTACAGATGACACCAAATGTAATGCACATAACATTATTTGTTTCATTTTAACAGCTTTTTGTACCTGAACCTCGTCCAGTTCCTAAAAATGATGTTGGATTTAAATATACTGTCAAACATCGACCATTTCCTGAAGAGGTGGATAAGATTCCTTTTGTGAAAGCAGATCTGAGCATTCCAGATTTGCATGAAATTGTCACTGAAGAAGTAAGATAAGTCATTGTCAGCTGTTGTTAAAGGAATGATGATAAACATTCTTGAACAACTGCCGTGGTTGAGACACTGCTTTTTTTTTATGTTACTGGAGATGGTTCCTAAGATGACCTAGATCTCTGTCATCCAGGTTACCATGTAGTAAGACAAGTGTAGTTTGTAGCTGATTCAAAGGACCTGGACCTCTCTTAGAGAGGCATCTGGGCCAGTCTGTGGTAGGTTTCAGCAGGATGGAGACATGATCGCACTCTGGAGGGCATTCGGATAAGGGAAACCCAATTCAGAGATTTGGATGACCATCCAGGCAGGGAGAAGGAAGGACCACCTGACTAATAGCAGAAGTTGAAACACATGGAATGTACTATAGAGATAGACCCAAGCAGTCTTCAATTGATGAGAGAAGGAAAAAAAATGAAGAACTTAGATTCTGAAGCTGAGTGACAAAGGAGATGTCAGTGCTATTTATAGAAATATGGATTATTTAGGAAGAGGACAGGTTTGGCAAGATGGGAAAGATGTATTTGGTTTTAGATTTAGATAATTAGATTAACTAATAGGTATCTTTAGATCAGGAGAGAAGTTTAAGAAGCAGGGGCAGAAGTATGTCAGGGCATGAGAGAATAGGGCAGGAATGGAGGCTGCTTCCTCTACAAGAGAGATCAGGGAGAAGGAGCGCTAAGTAGAGGCCTCTGGATTTTGGCATGAATGTACAGGTGACCTTTGAGAGCAGCTCCAAAGTCTGTGACACTAGTGTAAGGGGCTGGGGGATGACTGGTTAATGAGAGGCAGTGAACATAAATTACATGGTTAGCAGTTAAGAGAAGGGTACAAAGTGGATAGCAGCATGAGGAAATGGCCTAGCTAAGGCAAGGCAAAGCTAGTTTTTACTTTTTTCTATTTTTTAAACTCATAGGTGTGAGGAATATGAACATGCTTAGAGGCTGAAAGGAAGGAAGCAGTGGAGAAGGGCCTGTGTCTGCTAACACTGTAAGATGGTCTGGGAAAGCGCTAAGTAATCGAATAAGAGTCTGAGTGACTCTTAAAAAAAAAAAGAACCATATTTCTGGTAAGACAGGAGAGAAGGAGTGAGCAGGTGGAGATTCAGAGACATTTGAAGGTGGAAAGGAGAGAAACTGAAGGAGCTCATGTAAATTTTAATTTTAGTTCTTAGCAATGAAATAGGGAATAAAAGATAGCTCATAAAATTGCCAGGCAGCCCAGCCCAGGTTAAATAGAATCGTCTATAGTGAAATTACTTAACTTCTGTGCTGACTGTCTTCTTCACAAGTCCTTGGGATCTGGAGGCATTAAGTAAAAAATTTGAGTGGTGTAAGAATATGGAAGAATAATGGCCATTTGTATGTTTAGAAGAGGGTACCAAGAAGTTAGATTCGGTGGGGGTTAGGTGGGTTGGTTGGCATATAGATGAAGCCATGATACTACTAGCCTGGGACAACATGAGGAGGGGTTGAATGCCCACAATGGTGGGAAAGCACAGCTCTGCGAGTGAAGGTGTGGGAGAGATACAGGAGGGGGCTTGTGGTTGGAGAAGGGAATCTCATCATTGTAGCTCTTGAAAGTACAGCTTATCCGAGGTACAGAGTGTTCTCGTGGACAGCCCAAGTTGTGAGGGTTGAGGAGGTTATAGAAATACAAGCCAGGCTATTGGAAGGATCATTGCTTACCACAGAGGATCGAGTTAGACTAGGATCGAGCAGAAGCGAAGCAGGGGGTAGGGGAGATTCTCTGAATCTAGTGGAGTAATCCATTCAGATGAGGACTTTGAACATGAGGGGCTGCAGGGTGAGGGTGGACAGTGGTGAGGGAGAGGGAGTGGAAGCAACAACCCCTACCCCTTTCTTTCCCATTTGAGGGGAAGCAGAGACAGAATGGTTTCATTTACAGTTTTTTGGGTATTTGTTTTAACCTTGAAATGTGTTTGCTTGGTCGCATTCTCTACTGAAACTGTGTTGATCACTGAAAATTATCTGCATTTCCTTTGTTGCTTAAAGCTTTATTTTTATTCTTAAATTAAGATTAATCCTTTTACTTTTCTGATAGTTCCAAAAAAGTTAAAATTTTGTTTATTTCAGTTGGAAGAAAGACATGAAAAATTAAGGAATGGCATGACCCAGCAGATTGCTTATGAAGTACACCTTGAACAACAAAGTGAGGAAGAGCTGCGGAAGAGACGTTTTCCTGATCCAGTTACGGATTGTAAGCCTCCACCTCCTGCCCAGGAATTCCAAACAGCACGCCTCTTCCTTTCTCACTTTGGATTTTTGTCCTTAGAAGCACTGAAGGTAATTTTCCTAAACCTCTATGAGTAAATATATTCATAAGTTAACATGGAGTTGATGATAGCTAAAACATTTTTATGAGGACAGAAGGAATTAAATAAATAAATCTTATCCTGTATGCGAGTCAATGAAATTCTGTGGTGCTGTAGTTTTTACTCTGCAAGTCCAAGACCGTTTGTCCCATGAATCCTTCTGGATTGAGGGGACAGTCCCCGTCTGAGGGGGCTGCTTTGGTAATACACCTAACACTGAAATTTGCTGAGTAGTGTAGGGCCTATATCACATGTATAAATGAAATCTACAGATAATTAGAACAAGAATGTTAAAAATCTTCTATCAACATTTATGACTGAAGGTACAGGCTACAGTGGGCTCTGCTCTTTCATGCCTCTTCTAAAAAGTAACAAGTATTTGTGAGCCGAGAAGTTCTTATGTTGTGCAGGTTCTAAGATCAGACTGGCTGGGTTTAGGTCCTGACACCAGTGCTTGCCAACTTTGTGGTCTTGGGCAATTGCCTGACGTCTCTGACTCTTAGCTCCTCATCTGAAACGGAGACGATGAAAGTCCCTGCCACACTGTGGCTGTGTGAGGCTGCATGAGATATTTCATGCAGTGCTTAGAGCACAGCCAGCCAGCCTGGAAGGTAAATATTGCCATTCTTCTTCTTCTTTTTTTCTTTAAGTAGGCTCCACACCCAGCATGGGGCTTGAACTCCCAACCCTGAGATCAAGTGTCACATACTCTACTGACTGCACCAGGCAGGGTCCAGATATTGCCATTTTTCTTCTTCTTCTTCTTCCTCCTTTTTTAAAGATTTTATCTATTTGAAAAAGAGAGAGCACAAGCAGGGGGTGGGGAGATGAAGGGGGAGAGGGAGAAGCAGACTCCTCACTGAGCAGGGAACCAAATGTGGGACTAGATCCCAGGATCCTGAGATCATGACCTGAGTTGAAGGCAGACGCTTAGCCTACTGAGCTACCCAGGCACCCCTCTTGCCATTATTCTTAATTCCATTATCCTTAAAACAGTTTTACAAGGAAAGTGATACTATCCCTGTTTTACAGATGTGAAAACAGGCTCAAAAATGTGAAATAGCTTGCCTAAGGTGGATTTGGAGTTTGTAGTAAGGCCGCTTTGTTTTGAAAAGCTACAATTGAAGTGTACCAGGGAAGAAGTTGCTCATTGTAGAAGTTGTCCCCTGCTTTTACTCCCTAGCAGCTACTTGATTAAAGGTCAAGGGTTAACGTTTTTTAGGAAAGCAGGGGTAACATTTCTGATATTGGGTTTCAGCACGTTGATGGAAAATGTTCTGAGTTGTAGAAAAGTGAGTTGGTGGTGGAGAGTATGAACATTACTCTGAGCTCACACGAGTCGGGGGAGGGGCACAGGGAGAGGGAGAGAAGGAATCTCAAGCAGGCTCCAGCACAGAGCCCAGTGGTGGGGCTCAGTCTCACAATCCTGAGATCATGACCTGAGCTAAAAACAAGTCAGCTGTTTAACTGACTGGGCCACCCAGGCACCCCTGTGAAATTTATTTTTTACTAGAAAGCGTGATAGATTACAGAGAAAATAGGATTCAAAATTATATACATAGTATGATCTCAATTGTCTTTGAAAAAATTATATACAGGGCGCCTGGGTGGCTCAGTGGGTTAAAGCCTCTGCCTTCGGCTCAGGTCATGATCCCGGGGTCCTGGGATCGAGTCCCGCATCAAGCTCTCTGCTCAGCGGGGAGCCTGCTTCCCTTCCTCTCTCTCTGCCTGCCTCTCTGCCTACTTGTGATCTCTGTCTGTCAAATAAATAAATAAAATCTTTAAAAAAAAAAAAAGAAAAGAAAAAATTGTATACATAGTATGATCTCAATTGTCTTTGACAAAAAAATAGTTGAAAGGAAGTATATAAGAATGTTAAATAGTTTTTCTAGTTTAGGATAATGGTTGTATTTATTCCTGCTACTTTATAATTTTTTTACTTATATATATATTAAACTATGAGCAAGTATTGCTTTTATAATTAGAATAATGAAAAGAGATAATAATTTCTCCTTTCTTCCTTTGGTGGTAGGAACCTGCAAATAGTCGCCTACCTCCTCACCTTATTGCACTTGACTCCACGATACCTGGATTTTTTGATGACATTGGGTATCTGGATCTCTTGCCATGTCGTCCCTTTGACACAGTTTTTATTTTCTATATGAAACCAGGTCAGAAAACCAACCAGGAGGTAAGATTTCTGCATTTTGGGGATAATTTTTTATGCTATAAATGTTAAAAAGTTTTACTTGGCTGTGTTTATCCATAGTGGTAGGTAGGTTATACGTGATGCTTAAAGACTGTGAACCAGTTCAGAATGGAGTTAATGAAATCGTGATGCTCAGAGTCCTAAGCCTTTTGACTCTCAAAAGAACGTGATGTAGAGAGGAGCCATAATGTGTCTTTCTTCCCCTTAAAGAATTCAGATTCCAAAAGAAACTGAAATACAGAAGGTTAACCACAAAAAGCTTAAGGTGAAAAAGAGCAGATATTTACTGAGCATCTTCAGTGTCTGGTATAGAAGTGAGTAACAGTCTTTCCTCTCAAGGAGCTTACCTTGCAGGTAATTTCACAAGCAGATAATTTCAGTTGAGGCGTGCATAGCGTGCAGTGGGGAGAAGAACACCTGAAATAAAGGACAGAAGCAGAAGACTTGAGTAAAACTTAAGTTAAAGAAGACTTAAGTTGGTGCATGTATCAAAGAGAGTAGGAGAAGTATGAAGAAAAATATAAGATAAAGGATAATGGGAAAATGGAGAATAAATGACAAGAGAGTTAAAGCATCTTTTGGAAACGAATAGTTGAAACATGGAATTGGCAGGCAGCTACGAACTTTTGACTAGGAAAGGGCCAAAGGAAGAGTCACCAAATACAGTATTAGATGTACAGGGCGCTAGGACTGCATGGTCTCAGAATTTTACTGTAATCCTTGTAACACTGGTAGCTAATCAAATTGAACACACCATAAGAAATTTATCAAAGTCACAAAATGTTTATTTCTATTAGAAGCACTATTTCAGGTAATTGGTAAACTATTAGAAAATGAGATTGATTTATGAGATTTATGAGAGATTTATGAGATTTATTATAATTGGTGAACTGTTAGAAAATAGGAGATTTCTCATCTCATGCTGTTGACTCAGTAAATATTAATTGTCCACTGTCAGTTGGGTGCCAGGGTTGTAGTGGTGAACAGGATCTGCAAGGTATCTGACATTCCAGAACTGCCGTCTAAAGGGGAAGACAGGTGACTAAAGAAACAGCCATAGTAAAGTGTGCTAATTAGAAGCATTTTATAGGAGCCATCAACAGGAAAACCTAACCTCCTTTTGAGAAGGTTAGGAGGAAAATATTTTAGCTGTTATCTGTGGTTATATTGAGAGTGGGTAAAAAGGGAAAAGCAGGTTTTTTTTTTTTTTAAGGTTTTATTTATTTATTTGACAGAGAGAGATCACAAGTAGACAGAGAGGCAGGCAGAGAGAGGGAGGGAAGCAGGCTCCCAGCTGAGCAGAGAGCCCGATGCGGGACTGGATCCGAGGACCCTGAGATCATGACCTGAGCAGAAAGCAGCGGCTTAACCCACTGAGCCACCCAGGCGCCCCGGAAAAGCAGGTTTTTACTAACAAAGTTGTAGCATGTGTAATGGCCCTGGAGGTTAAGAGAGAATTCCGTCTTCACCAAATTCACTGTGGAGTCCAGTATACTTGGAGCTTGGGAGAATGTGGGCTTATGATGGCTGGAGGTGAGACTAGTGGACTCCAGGTATTTGAAAGAACCTGAGAATGGGGTTGATTGCAGAGGTTGGGGATTTGTTTGGAAGAAGTCTCATGCATGGTTCGTATGACAATAGTAGGGTCATTTTTCTCCTTCCTGTAAAAGAAGACACAGACTGTTGAGATAGCTCTTAAACTAATTCCATTTCCTTAGCTTTCTAGGCACTGAGAGGGATGAGAGCATCGCACAGTCTGCAGCCTCCTATAGAATGTCTGAGTCCCACCTTCACTAGCCGCAGGATAGCTTTAGGGTAATTTCTAGTCGCCAGCCAGGGCCTGCAGGTTGAATCTGCTCATCTGTTGTGTCTTGACTAATTTTTCAGAAATTGTTTATTTAAAACTTCCACTTTTGAATAACAATTTTAATTGAAAGAAAACTGGAAGTGGCTGTCAAGTCAGTTTCCTTACGCTTACAGGACTGTGAAGGGCTGTGGGTGAACTACATAGGGTACTTCTAACAAGTGTTTAAGATGTGATGGCCTGGCAAGTTTCACCCAGTGGGTTGACAAGTAACAGAGGGAACACCCCATATTTTGATTTGCTCAGGCCTCTGTATGGTCTTGAATAGATTAGCACTGATGAGCCACACATGTGACTTGTAGACCGACTCCATCACTGTCATTTGGAGAGTTTTAAGAATAGTGATTCCAGGATCCTACTTTTGCTGATGATAGAAGGTCTGCAGTGGTCTAAGAGAATCTCATGTTTAAGATGTTGCTCAGGTGGCAGATTTATGTTTCCCTGGTCCTATAGAATCAGTGTCCGCTCACCCCTCTCTGAATTCAAGAATGCCTCAAATCTCTGTATGCTGATTTTGTTGATTATATCAACAGTGTTATCCGTTGCTGTGTTCAGTGTCAGGCGATCCTTTTATTCTTTGCTTTCATGTTGTGTGATCTGCTTATGTGTTTTATAGATGCAGTTCATACTGCAGACTTTTAATATTACTGATATTAGATTATAGGTTGAATGATCTTAGATTAAGAACTGTAGTTCAGATAAATCCCTTAATAATTTTAGTCATTTATTCTCACAAGGGAGTTAACATTGAATACAAAATGAAATAAAAGTTAAATGTTTTTATAATTATTAAATTAAAAGTTTAGTGAGACGTTCAAGAAAAAAATATTCCCTTGCTGATTTTGATACATTCCCCCCTTTTCATTTATAATTTGTAGAGGATTTCTCATTTTCCTTCCGTTAGCGTAGGGTTTTCGACAACAGTACTATTGCTATTTTCGGCTAGATAATTCTTTGTTATGGAAGCTGTCCTACAAATAGGTCACTAGATGCCAGTCGCACCCCACAAGCGGCGGTGACAGAAGTGTCTTCAGACATTCCAGTTGCCCCCTGGAGGGGGATTCACCCCCATGGAACTATGATTTTAGGGACTTTTCTTTTTGAGACAAGTAAAAAGCCCAGGTATTAAATCTTGTATTTAGTGAAGAAGGGAGAACCTTCTGGTCATTCTGTTTTTTCTGGAATGGCTGCATTCTCTTTTATGGACTTGGAGAAGGATGTTTTCTTGCTTATTTGTTAATTATACCTATTCTTTATTGAATTTTTTTGTACTTTTTATATCCTTTCTTATGATGTGTAATAAAATAATCACATACCTGTGTAATGTATCTCACTAACCAGACAGTAAAGTCTGTGAAAACAGGGACATCGCAGTTTTAGTTTACTTTAAGTAAACTTGTCTGGTTCAATATTGTTTTGCAAGAGGGGAAGCTGAAGTCTTTACTTGCTTTATCGCAGCTACTCTTCGCAAACATCATTATTATCCCTACTTTAAAGTTGAAGACACTGTAACAGTGAGGTTAAGAAACTTTCCCAAGGCCCAGCTAGGATTTGAACCCAAATCTGTCTTAACTAGAAGCATCATTTTTAACCAAAGGGATGTATTCCCAAGTTTATTCTGAGCTTAGACTTAATTTGTCAGATACTTTAAAGCTAACGGATTTTGTGGAGATTTATTTATTTATTTATTTTCAAGATTTATTTTGATATGCTCTTTTGTTTCCTTCACTATGTGCTGATGATTGGTATGTATTTCAGATTTTAAAGAATGTGGAATCTTCCAGAAATGTTCAGCCACATTTCCTAGAATTTTTGCTTTCCCTTGGCTGGTCAGTAGATGTGGGCAGACACCCGGGTTGGACTGGGCATGTTTCCACCAGTTGGTCTATTAACAGTTGTGATGATGGTGAAGGACATGAACGAGGTAAAACTCATAATGGTCATTGTTTTTCCTTGTTTTGTTACTTTTGGTTTCCCCCCTTTACTATAAGTTGGTAGTCTTATTTTACAAAGAAACAAACCAGAGGTATATTAAAACTTTTCTTCCCCTAATTCAACTCCTCACAAGAGGCCACTTAACACTAGTTTGTATATTCTTTCAGATGTCTTTTGTGTAAATGGGGAAAAAATTATAGACACATAAAGGTAGTTAATATAAAATTCATGGCTTAACTATCACAAGGCTGATAAGTTCCCTTTTATATTGTGAGTAAACAAATTCTGTTTTGTGTAACAGTATTGTAATAAATCAAGATTTATTTGCTAACAAGTTTGCTAACATATATTTTGCCCAATACAGTTTTCTATTAACAGGTGTGTTTTATAGATATCGTGGCTATCGTTAAAGGTTACACTCTTGGGACATTATATAAAAGCCTTTGTAGTAAACACCTGACTATCTTGGAGAGATTCATGCCCATATCTACAAATCTTCCTGGGGAACTATAATAGAATAATAAATACCAGGGCAAGTATGAATTTAAACTTAAGACCTTTGCCCCTCCTGGCTTTTTTTCTGAGGGCTCCTAAAGTCACTGGAGAGTTAATATTATCTCTGAAGTGGGTGATACCCCCAGTGCTTTGAATTGTCAGAGTTGCTCTGTTAACCAGATTATACTCTCTCAAGGTTTCCCACTGAATACCATGGCGACTTGTGACCTGTCATTTTTTCTGATTTCGGTCAAGGTTGAATGGAACTATTTGGGGATATACTCTAATCTTAATTTCCACATATCCTTTAATAATATGCTTGGGTATATTTAATTCCTATAAGTAAACTGATAAAGAATATGCATATTTTTCAATTTGATAAATGTATCATTGGATGCTTATGGTTGCAGTAATAGAAAACTTGACCCAAACTGGCTTATATTTTAAAGGTCATTTATTGTCTGATGTAAATTAAAATTCCAGAGGTTAGTGTACATTTTTGTTGTCATTTAATCAGCACCCTGTTCCCTTTCTCTGCAATTTACCTTTAGCTCTGCTGTTCGTATATTGATTTTGTCCCTAGCCTGGCTTCTCTCATAGTATGGAAGGGCCGTTCCAGGCTTTACATTCACATACCAACCCTAGCCCGAAGAGGAGAGATTAGCTGGGTCTCAGTACCTCCGTACACTCAGGTCCTGAGATACACAGTGATTTGGCCACTCCAGACCGTTGCTATGGCAGGAGAGATGGACCGACACTGGTAGAGAGCTGTAGACAAGGTACAACCGGTATGAAGGGTCAGTTTCACTTACAGTTCACACCTGCTATAGAATGCAGGAGGATGGAGTGGGTGTTGGGGCAATAACCAAAGTGTCTACTATAGTAGACGCAATGTGCCTTCCCAGTGTCGAAACCAGAAGCTGGCAAACTACAGCCCATCCCATTTTTGCAAATGAAAGTTTATTGGAACTCAGCTACACTTGTTTACGACTGCTTTCGTGCTATGGTGCTCTCATACTTGAGTCATTATGGCAGAGACCATTTGGCCTACAAAGCCTTATTTACTATCTGATCCTTCACAGAGAAAGTTTGTTAACTTCTGGTCTAAACTTCTGTGTGCCACATCCTCACCAACATTAAGTATCTACCAGTCTGTTAGCTGAGAAATTTTGTTTTTTGTTTTTGTTTTTTTTTTTTAGATTTTATTTATTTATTTGACAGAGATTACAAGTAGATGGAGGGGCAGGCAGAGAGGAGGAAGCAGGCTCCCCACCGAGCAGAGAGCCCGATCCAGGGCTCGATCCCAGGACCCTGAGATCATGACCTAAGCTGAAGGCAGAGGCTTTAACCCACTGAGCCACCCAGGCCCCCCCAATTTTCTGTTTTTAATTAAGATTGAGTTTCAGCATTTTTTCATATTTTTATTTCTCTCCTGAGAACTAACTTGTTCATTTCCTCTTCCCAGTTTTTTTCAGGTTGTTGTTGGTCTTTTATGTATTACTGGTAGGGCATTATGTTCATTTTAATTGAGAACTATACTAGCTCTCAGGAATGTTACTTTTGTTCTTTCATTCTTGCTGGCATGGAGCAGATACTATTACTCAGAATGCCTGTATGTTTTATGTTCTGTCACTGACTGTTGGGGAAGGTGGAGCAGGAGCAGAGCTGAGGAGCAGTAGAGAGAGACCAGAGACAGGAATGCCTTGAAAGCAAGAGTATGAAACACACAGACACCTGCCCTAACTCTGTTCAGAGGTTTGTGGTGGTTGTCTTCCTTTGGATTATTACCTCTTCCCGAAAAACTGTTTTCATAATCTACCTCATACAGATGAGTTCAAGGCTTTGCTAATCAGAAGTAGCCTAATTTAGAGTAGTTTCAGAAACTGTGAATTTAAGATTTTATCATTTAAATTTAGTGTAAAGGCATATAATGAACACTTATAGTTTATTCTTCTTAAACACTCATTGGTTCTTGCTGGAAATGTGCCTTCTGTCGATTTCCATTTTATTAACCAGTTAAAATTTCATGAAGCAGGATGAAACTGATTTTTCCCCCTTTTTGGAGCAATAATGTAGTATTTCTCATTCCTAGATGAAGTTATTTCTTCTGAAGACGTTGGGGCTAGCATTTTCAATGGACAGAAGAAGGTGCTGTATTATGCCGATGCCCTTACGGAAATAGCTTTTGTAGTTCCTTCTCCTGTGGAGTCCTTAAGTAAGAGCATTTTTTGTATGGTGCTGTTTTAAAATCTATTTTTGTATTCACTGGTTTGTGCAGTATTTTTGCATTGGGAGATATTCTGAAGTCATCTAAGTCACTGTTTAACTTCTAAGGCATGGTAGCATTTAGATTATGCAGAGGTATAGGATGTTAGCTCTTCTTAACTTTCTTAAGAACACTAGTTAAAGACAGGTAGACTGAACCTCCCATAATAGTCTTTAAGTAGAGAAGGGGACCCACTTCAACCTGGTTTTTGTCGTTCTTTAATTAATATGTGGAAGGCTTGTTTTCCAGTTTATTCATTTTTTTCTCTATTTATGAATGAGCTCCCCACCTACTTGCCTCTTTCCATGTGAGAGCCTTACGTGGAACCTCAGAGAATCCTACAATTGGAAGATAGCATCTGGCTGATCTTCTGACACCAAGTAGGAGAAACAGCACAGCCTAGAAAAGGTGGCGAATTAAGTCTGTTCTTCAAAGGATCAGGAGTGATTATTACTTCTCAGTCTGAACCATAGTCTTATCTTGCCAAGAGCCTTTGCTCCTCCCAAATTAAGCCCATTTCTTTGTGCCTGACCAGGAAGTAGGTGGAAAATTTTTACCTTCTTCATTGAGACCATCTGCAGGATGGGCTGCTATATACGTCACACTGTTATGGTCTCATCTCTAGGCTAATGACTTCTCTCATGCCCTTATGCTGGCGGCCTCCTGACCTTTGTACTTGGGCCTTTGATTTCCTACACCAGCGCCCCCCGCCCCAACCCCTGTCTTATATTCTCCAGCCAGTTGTGTACCTGGCAAGAGAGACCTTTCATGGTCTAGGTCAGTATCCCTAGCAGCTGTTTGCCTTCATGTCAAGACTGTGATCTACTACTCTAATTCCAGAAGCCAGGCCCCACTTGTCCTCTCTGAGTTGAGTCCCTGCTTCATCTCTAGCCCAGCCTGTTTGCACCAGCAGAGCTAGAGCTTTGTCCTTGTACTTCATTTGCCACAGTTGGGTCTTTTTCACCTCTTGTCAGGAAACGTCCTGTGTGCTGACTGTACCCCTGCTCCAACTCAGCCTCCTCCGGTTTCTTGAGATTTGTTTTTGTGTTTGTTTTTTCCGACTCTGTGCTTGTCTCTAAGCAGATCACTTCTTAATCACAGAGACTAGGTACTCCGTGGCTTTGGAATGCCCCTGTGCCACTTGGTACCATGCTACAGGATTGAATATGTAATCAAAATATTTCAGAGAGTAACAGATGGCTTATATTCTGCATCTGAAAAGTCAAAATATTTTCTAGTCTTACCTCAGTTATCCTGTAGCACAGGAGCTGACAAACTATGGCTCACAGGCCAAAATCAGACCACTAAGTACAGTTTTCCCATTTTTAGCGTTGTAAATAAAATGCAGAGAATATGCCATAGAGACCTACATAACCAGCAAAGCCTAAAATATTTCCGACCCCTTACGGAAAAAGTTTACCAATTTTTTGTCTAGAGGCATTACTTCTCTTAAGTGACTTAGGTTAGACCATTAGCATAATTAAACACTTCTCTAAAGAAATAGTAAATATAATTGATTTTTTTCTTTACTCTATAGCTGATTCTTTGGAAAGTAACATCTCGGACCAAGATAGTGATTCAAATATGGATCTTATGCCTGGAATTCTAAAACAGCCATCCCTGACACTTGAGCTTTTCCCTAATCACACAGACAATCTTAATTCCTCACAGCGGGTAAGTAACTCTGTTGATAGAGCTCTGAAAATTTGTCATGCAGTGGGAGTAATTATAGAATCATGCCTTTAGTCACTTTTTAACTGTAATGTAGAGAGCAATAATAGCAGTACTGATTCATTAGTATCTTAATTTTTTAAAATCAAATTCTCACAGTTTTCTTTTTCTCAGCTTGCAGCAAATACACAAATAAGACAGCCCCTGTTGTTTTCCTTGGTTTGGCCATTTTGGTACCATGCTTGGGTCTCTCACCCATTCCTTCTCAGGCTTAAGTTTTTATCTTGTCCCTGAAATATCCATTAAAGGTACAATAGTAGTGGGGTGCCTCGGTGGCTCAGTTGGTTAAACATCTGCCCTTTGACTCAGGTGATAATCTTGGGGTCCTGGGATGGAGCCCTGCATTGGGCTTCATGCTCAGCAGGGAGTTTGCTATTCCCTCTTCCTCTGCACCCCCCCCCGCCTCTCCCCACTCGTGCACATGCTAGTTCTCGCTCTCTCAAATAAATAAATAAACCTTAATAAAGAAAAGTACAACAGCAGCTGTATGGTCCACATCTTTAATCATGCAACATTCAACTTAAGTCTACTCTGTACAAATGGTAGCACTTTGGAGACTAGCCCAGAGTATGACTAGATGTAATGAGTGAGACACACAGCAGCCACTGCAAGAAGGGAACATTTTACTTCTATATGATTTTTCTTGCCATATGAGTAGATGTTATTGTCTTTATTTTTGTTTTCTCCTCATATTACCTCTTCATCCTTACTGGAAAGTGGACAAGTGAGTGATAGGAGGGTATGGGATCCTTTCATAAATGTGAGAAGATTGATTTGTAACAAATAATAGAAAGACAAAAGAAACGTAAACTTGATTGAAGCAGAGGTTTTCTTGGCAGGAGATTTCATGTACATCTTTTCCTGGTGGGGCCTGTAATTGATTATTCTTTCCTGTTGATGATTCTTCTGTTGACATCTGTAATGGACAGTTATTCATGTAATTGCAGTTGGGTGGCATGGCTCCTTTTTCTAGCCTCCCGCTTTAGTGAGGTTTCCCTTTGTTAATTTCTACACTACTATCTAAAATAAAAATGTTATCTCAATAGATGCAGAAAAAGCAGTTGACTTTAAATTCAACATTCATTCATGACTTTCAGCAAACTCTGAATAGAAGAGAACTTTCTGAACCTGAGACCGAGCTCTACTGGAAGCCTAAGGTTATACTATACAGTATTGTTGACTGCTTTCCCCCTGAATGGAGTACAAAGCAAGAATATTTGCTCTCACCACTTGCATTCAACATGGAGTCCTATAGAGGGAAATATGACAAGAAAAAGAAATAAAGTGCATAAGTATTGGAAAGGAGAAGTAATACTGTATGTATTTGCAGATGACATGATCATATATGTAGAAACCCTGAGGAATCTTTTTTAAAAAATCTACTAGATCTGCTGAGTGAGTTTATTCAGGTTATAGGAAAAAAGGCCACCATGTTAGACTGAATTCTAAGATAGCCCCCAGGGACTCCTGCCCCTGTATGATGTCCTCCCCATGTGTGTGTGTGTATAACCTGTGAATATGATGAGCTATCCTGTGATTATGTTCTATTATACAGCAAAAAGGATTTTGTGGGTATAATTATTAAGGTTACTTTGAGTTAATCAAAAGAGATTACCCAGGTAGGCCTGACCTAATCACAGGAGCCCCCCTGCTTTTTTAAGATTTTATTTGAGAAAGAGAGTGTGAGAGGGCATGATAGGGGGAAGGGCAGAGGGGGAAGCAGACTCCCCACTGAGCCGGGAGCCTGATAGAGGGCTCGATCCCAGGACTACAGGATCATGACCTGAGCTGAAGGCAGATGCTTAACCAACTAAGCCACCCAGGCATCCCATAGGAGCCCTTTAAATCTAGGGCTAAAGTCAGATTCAGAGCTGACTAGGAGCCATGGTAAGAAAATGGTCTCTGAGTGTGGCTGGTGTCTGCCACCCCTTTGGGGGAGATCTCTTAGTCACAGCCATTTTCTGTGACTGCCAGAACACAAACAGAAATGGAAATAAGAATCTAGGGGAATTGCCATGGGCTCTGTCATCTGAACACAGGTATATTTCTGTGCTAATAAAGCAGTTTTATTTTTAAAATTCAACTTAGATATGAGATTCTCTCTTTTGTCCACGTAGCTTTGTTTAGGGCTTTAACACAAACTCATCCCTACTGTATGCCCTCACAGTGGTATTGCTCAGCGCCAGTTTGCTAAAGGGCAGCTGCAGAGGCCTGCTAGCCCTTCAGAGAAACTTCATGCCGATCAGGTAGGCAGGGAAGCCAGAAGCAGATTGCATGATAACAAAGACACAAGCAACTCTTTTTTTCATTCTGTTGACAAGAAAAAGGACTTTTTTGGCCTAGATTGCAGTAGGAAACCTCTGGCCTAGAAATGAGAACTAGAAGTAACTTGCTGATGGGACATTTTAGAGATTAGAATCCTCAGGCAAACCAATGACGTTGCTGAGGTGAGGAAAGCATTCTGCTTACTGGCCGAGACTGTTGATAGACTCAAATCCTCTGAAGCCCTCATTAAGACATTGCCTGCAAATTTTTTAAAGATTTTATTTATCCATTTATTTTAGAGAGAGAGAGAGTGCACGCTAGCAGGTGGAAGTGCGGACAGAGGGAGAGGGAGAAAATCTCCAGCAGACATGGGGCTCGATCCCACAACCCCGAGATTAGGACCTGAGCCGAGTCAGACGCCCAACCGACTGAGCCGCCCTGGCAACTCCCCACCAAGTTTTATTTTTATTAATGTATAATGTATATATGTATAATGTATAATGTATAATAATTGGTCAGTATTCCTTATCTTCTTTGGGAATCTAAGACCCTCGTTTCTTTGTACTAGGCTGAGACGTGATAAACAGGAGTCAAAGAAGAGCTTTTTTGCAAATATATTTTACTTTTTTCCTGAAGTGATTTCCCGTGACCTGATATTTACATCACTGGGCAGCTTGATGAATATGTGGTTGGGTCATTTTATTAAGCCACTTCTTTTTTTTCCCTCCCCCTTTTCCTTTTCTGCTTTTCTCTACCTCATATAGCTTAGTCCCAGTTCCAGAATGAAGAAGCTGCCTCAGGGTCGCCCTGTGCCTCCCCTTGGACCTGAGACAAGAGTTTCTGTAGTCTGGGTGGAGCGCTATGATGATATAGGTACTGTGTAAGGACTTTGTCCATAAGTAAAATTATTGTAGAATGACAGTGACTTGCTGAATGTCTAAAGAGAGGAAGGAAGCACAGATGTGGTGTGGTGGCCAGAAGCTGGGGCTGGAGTTCAGCAAGCCTGGGGTGGCATCCCGGCTCCACCCCTCACTCAGTTTCTTTAAGCCTTAGAGTACTCATCTGTTAAATGGAGACACTCATGGCATCTCCTAGTCATGATGATTTGATGAGACTAGTGGATGTAAAACTTTTAGCTATTCTTGATATCACAGTGACTGGCTTGTTGTGAGTTGGTCCCACTCCATGTAGCTCCCGGTCATCCCAGGACCTCTGGAAAGGGGAAGGGGGAACAGTTCCCTCACCTCTGGATGAACCCTACTGTCTAGTTCTGGTGTAAAGATTAATTTGTCCTTAGGAATTCTGCTGTGGGTAAGTTTCTCATGATTTTTATGTAAGCAACATAAGAGCATTAGAAATGCATACTTAGCCTAGTATCTCATCCAGCTCAGGGTTTGTGGAAAAGTGTGATCATTGCTTTCCAACCAAGCTCTCAAAGACCACAGATCATGTTCTATAAATACTCAGCTTTAGATGCACTTAGCTAAAATTTGTCTTGAGGGAGATTTCTTTTTGGTAGGAATGGTCAGGATTATGTATTTTAGGATATCACAATCCATATATTCATTGCACACTTGTATAAAGAGATTAGGAAATTAGATTTCATACTATTTACTTTAGAAATATGAGGGAGATATTAATTGTAATGCTGTTACTTTCTTCCAGAAAACTTTCCCCTCTCAGACCTGCTGACAGAGATCAGTACTGGTGTGGAAACTACTGCAAACAGTAGCACTTCTCTGAGGTACACTCTTTATTTGTGTCAGGCTCACCAGCATGTCTTGAAGCATAGAAAAATCTATTCGTTACAGTATGTCAGTTGTGATTTCAAAAAGATAAGAAAACAAAAGGGATGGAGGCAATAGGAAATAAACATAAGGAAAAAAACCAAGTTGGTAGATACATGCATAAGGTGATAAATTAACAGGCATTTTAAAATCGCATAATTAATTGCTATTTTCTATTCATCTGCAGCAAAGAGAAAAATGAATAGGTGGGAGCAGTTAAGCATTAATGAAGACTGTAACAACAGACTGCCAATATTAGATAGAAGTAATAGAGTTAAATTGGTCAAAACATTCTGGATAGTTAAAACGTCCTAACTAAATGAGCTATTTAATGGGGAAATATTTCTAAGTAAAATGTAATGTTAACCTTATTATAGTAGTAAGATTCCTATTTTAGCTGCCCATACAAAAAGGATAAAAGGGTATAATTAGATTCTAAAATTAGTAGCAGTGTATCTCTATAGGCTTTATAGTCTCAAGACTTTTTGCTTGCTTGCTTGCTTTTGGTTTAAATAGGTATTTTAAAACAATTCACAAGAAGTGCCATTATCATCTCTGTTTTACAAATGGAATAAAATGGGCTGATAGAAATTATTCTTCAGTATCACACGTTCAGCAAATGAAAGAGAAGGTGATCTGAACTCGGGCTTCTGACCCCAGATGCCAACCTTATTTCATACATCAGAGATCTGCCCTTGATATCAAGTTACATAACCTGATTTGTATTGCATGTAAGATGAATTGTTCCCCACAAGGAGGAGGAACTAAGTGAAAGTCCCACAGCTGGTTGCTGGATCTACCCCCCGCCCCCCGCCCCGAGATTCCTCTCCCTTTGCTTCTACCCTGTGTCCCTAGTGGTTTTAAAACACATTTTTAAGCCCTTTTTTATTAGTTTGAAAAGCCCAACTGCAGTGATGGGCATTTGGGCCAGGTGTTAATAGGGGTTTGGGGTGGGGTGCAGCAACATGGGCTCCCAGAAGGAGGATTCTGAGCAGAGTGACACGTTGGGTCCTATCAGACTACATCAAGCATGGCATCAAGTGTCCTTAATTTTCTTAAATTACACATGGAGAACTTCAGCTTTTATGTGGTTGGGGTAAAAAGAGTTTTCTTTTCTTTTCTTAAGATCTACCACTCTTGAAAAAGAAGTTCCTGTCATCTTTATCCACCCTTTAAACACTGGATTATTCCGGATAAAAATTCAAGGAGCCACTGGAAAATTTAACATGGTCATCCCGCTTGTGGATGGGATGATTGTCAGCAGGCGAGCACTTGGTAAGACCTTCATATATGGCCAGAGTTAAGGTTTCTCTCTTTTTAAAAATTTATTTGCTTAAATATTTTTATGAACTAAGAAGTAGAAATAAGGAAATGGTGATATTACTTAATAGATCCTACATGTAGAAAATGCTGTGGTTTGGGGCACCTGGATGGCTCAGTTGGTCAGGCGTCTGCCTTGGGCTCAGGTCATGAGCTCAGGGTCCTGGGATCAAGTTCCCACATCGGGCTCCCTGCTCAGTGGGAAGTCTGCTTCTCCCTCTCCTTCTCCCTGCTCGTTCTCTCTCTCTCTCTCGCCGTTGCTCTCAAATCAAATCTAAAAAGAAAAAAAAGAAATTGCCAACATTCTTGTTAACTAAGAAGCATGTTTTGTTCTTTTTTAACTGTGCTTCATCTACTTAAGTACATGTAGAACTATGATTCACAAACTTCCAGGCCTAGAAAATCAGAGAGCTGTTTATAATCCAGGGCAGGAAGATGGGTTGTCAGACCAGATTTACTTCTGTTTTCCCTGGTTTATTTCTTCTAGCAGTTTTGTCTCAGTAGAGTGTTGTCCATTTCTCTAGGGACGAGAAGTTTTGCACATGGAATGAGCTAGGTTTGACTTTGTAGAGAGTAGTTCACTTTGAATACCGATAGTTCACCTAGACAGCTTGTTACTCATGTTCAATTTAATACCCTGTGTTTTTTCAAGGTTTTCTGGTAAGGCAGACTGTAATTAATATTTGTAGAAGAAAGAGACTGGAGAGTGACTCCTACAGTCCACCACATGTCCGCCGGAAACAGAAAATCACAGACATCGTCAACAAGTACCGGAATAAGCAGCTGGAGCCAGAGTTTTATACTTCACTTTTCCAGGAGGTTGGACTCAAGAACTGCACTTCTTAGACACTGTCTGTCTAGGACTTTTGAACTCCAGTTTGGGGCTATGATATCAGAGCAAAACAATTGGATAGGTGATCACTGTAAAAAGAAAAACCAGTCACTCCCCAAGAGCTTACTGTTTAATCACCAGAATAGAAGAAACACATTATAAACCCATTTGATAGAAGACTTTTGGCTTTCTAGTGAAATGGGCTCCCAGACACAATCATATTCCTGCTGGTAATGATGATATACATTTTAGCCATAAACTTTCTTTTAAAAGTGACAATTTTAGTTAAATATAAGCCTTTTGAGGAGAAAGGCTTCCTGCATCTCAGTTAAACACGTGCATTGGTAGTATCAAATTTGCAAATTAGAAGTTGAAGATAGTTTTATACTTCACTTTTTAGGAGGTTATGTTCAGAATTAAAATCTGTCTCAGAATCTTCCGGGACATTCAAAGACTCATGCTGATAATAGCATGGAGGAAAAGGAAAGAAATCTCAGCTTTCTGCTCACTTGTAAGTTCATTTGTCGTCCAGCTGTCCAACTGACAGAAATGAGCATAAATGTGTTTTGTTTGGGTAAGAAGCCTGACATTAAAATATTTCATGTTTCCTCTCCACATTTCACAAAGTTATCGTCCTCATTACTGCACAGATCTATCTGAAGGCCTCAGTTTCTGGGCAGCCCAGGAGCAGATCTACATTGGAGGCATGGCTCTGTCCTTTAAAGGGGACACAAGTGGCACTGGGGTTAGAAAGTGAGACAGCAGTGATGCCTCCACTCTCTCCATTGCTGTGTGGCTTGGGACATGATGACAGGCTAAGCATTCGTAATTCCTTGGTAATTTCTTGGTTAAATTTTAAGAAATGGAAGTTCGCAACAAGGGTTGAAAATTACTTGGTTTCATCCATTGACTCTTATTTCAGGACCAAGCAGGAAACTGCAGTAGTTTATGAAGGATTCTAATTTGGGGTTCAGGAAACAGCCTCTCAACTCTACTAATTCAGATCTCTCCCAGAGCGCTCCTGGATTTCATCGTAATTGACAAACATTAGTGACCACCCCCTAGGGTGACTGCTGTTAGAAATGGTTGTTGTTGTCATGTTTTCTGGACTTTTGCCAGCCAAAGGCACAACAAATCCCTGCACGGGTTTTGGAAATATTTCTGTTACCTCACTGCTACTTTTCTGCCAGGGATAAATGTTTTGAGGTGGCCAGACCCAGAACAACCTTCTGAGGATTCCTGTTACAGTGCTAGAGTATACACTACTCATTTCTCCTATTCTTCCATGCTTTCTTCTTTATTAAGATTATTTTATGTTAAGAAAATAAGTGACATTTGAAGTCCAAAGAGGAGTGCTCACAGCTGTGTTAGGGGTGGTTTTCCATGTGAACTCTGGAGTCAATAGACTGTAGGTCAGGGCTGCGATGGCGTGTTTGGTTTGATGTTTGGGGCGTTCATTTGAGGGTGGGGGGTAATGTAGGGCCTAGTTCCCCGTGCAGATATTTCTATTCCAAAAGTATGTGTTTTGTCATCTATGAGCAAGAAATTTGGGTATCATAGCAACTCTTGGTTTTAAGTTTGCTCTACCCGTTCCTTCATATTTGTTTTAAGCTCAGGTAAAGATTACCTCCTTCTTCTGTGACTCCAGTTTCCATTCAGGGTATGGTGTTTTTGAATAATCGATTTTCTTTTTAATCTGGGCAATAAATTGATGTTTCCAGGTGGTAGCATGGGGGTAGGGGGTGTAGGACAAAGATGAGCAAATTCTACTCTAAAAATGTTTTATTAACTCAGCAGGTGTAAAGTGAAGTTTAACAACTTTCATGGAAATTCCAGATTGACATTTCAAGGGAAAAATGGGCCTTTTTTTCTGGTGGACTTGAACAAAGAAGGCTTAAATCAATAGGCAACTCATAACATTCCAGAGGTTAAAAATAACTGATGTAGGTGTGCTTCCTCAGTGTGATTCTTCAGATAAAACCTTTAGCACAGATTTACTGTCAGCAAAATATACTGTGATGTGCGTGTTGAGGGTAGGCTTCCTGATCCTTCCATTTGCTCTCATTTCTGGCAACGCTTTGTAATTCTGCTGACTTGAGAAGTGAATAACCGTGTTGAATGCTGTTTGTAATCTGGAAGCCTATGATCTCCCAGGGAAGGAGGGATAGATGCAGAGCTGTGCAGCCCCCGAAGGCATGAGACCCCAGTGTGTACAGCACAAATAGAACATAGGGGTACATCTACCTCATGAGGTGCCCCTTCCTTCTGCTCAAAATAACATTTACCTAAAAAGGGAGTGCGGTAAGAACACTTGGAACCTTTCACTAGTATGGGTTTGAGTTCATGGTCACTAAGTTCACCCAACTGCCTTTGTTAGAATCACTTCGAGTAGAATAATGCCAGAGGAGCGTATTTAGTCCCTAGTGATAACCTTTAGTAGTCCACTCGATAAATTTGCTAGCACGTGTTCCTAACCTTCAAAGGGAAGCCAGGACCACTTTGGTCTGTGGCTTAAACAGTATAGTTGCTGCATGTGACAGGTATTATCAGGGGGTGGATGAGTGTGGCATTCGGTGACAAAGCATTACCCAAGGGGCAGAGGCAGGTAGCCCCTCGTAGTCCTTTCTCCTATTCGGGAGATGGGAGCTTCCCTCCTCCTCTCTGGTTGGGAGCACTGACGCCAGTGAGGAGGCTTTGCCTTTTCTTGGTCACCCAGCTCCCACTTTTGTCCTGTGCTTCCTCCTAAGACCTTCTCCTACCTAGCACTGGCCCCGAAAGGAATAGTTACGTGGTGGGTTCACCCCCTCCTGCGCTGGCCATACACAGCCACGTGCGTGCGTGCTGTCCTCCATTTCCTGGTCCTCGATTTCAGGGTAGCCCATTCTCCTCCGGACTCCCTTACAAATAGAAAAGACCTACGTCTTTGGCCAGTAATGTCGGTTGCCCGCAGGCTGTGTATATGAGGCCTTTATGAACGGTTACTTTCTGCCTGCTGTGGGGAAGCATTTGTGAGGCTCTACAGAGTGATTTTCGGAGAGACCGTCTTCGGGAGCATTTATTTCCATTGGATGGTAAGACTTTACCCAAGGTGGAAATCAGCCTTGCTCAAAGACCCGCTTTGAGTAGATAGTAAAGATGTATTGGGGGTAATTTGACACTCCTGCTGGCAGTGGTTCTCCATTCAGCATTTTAAAACCCATTCATGTTATATCTTCCTGAAAAGATTTATGTGTTTACATGAAACAATAAGTTGAATGAGATGGTCTGTTCTAAGGATTTCCATGACAGCCTCTTTTCCTGAGATGGAGAGATTGGAGGTAATCCACCCGCTCAGTGTGGAATCAAACTGTGGGTTCTCGGTAGCTGAAGAAGCCATGTACTGTATAGTGTTTTTCTCAGAGCATCAGCTCACGTTCCTCAGATGCTTTTCTTTTTTTAATGGTGAGGGAAAAGGTGTAATTTGGGATTCCACAGTGCCTTGCATATAGTAGGCGCCCAATAAACATTTGTTGAAGCAAACCAAGTTTCCCAAGTCCTTGCCTCTTGAAGTGACCAAGAACATCTTTCTCCTCTGAAGGGCTTGGCAGTTGTGGCTAAAAAATAAACAGTATCATTATTTGCTTGAAATCATATATACAATTTGTATGAATTTCGGTATGTTGCCAAGACATGATCTTTTTCTTATTGTATTTTCTGTAAATATTTCTGGCACTGAACTGTAAAGTAAAGGCGAAATGTAAATACGAAGGTGTACCTGTGTCCCCTCGCCTCCTGTGTTTTCTCTTCATCGGTTAGGGAAAAAGGCCCAGAGGCTTGTTTGTATTTATGCCGATCCTTTGTCCAGAAGAAACCCATGGAATATTGAATGTAATACATTTAGTCAATTAAATTTTAAGGAGATTCTTATCTAATAACGTTGTGTGTGCTTTTGGTGACAGGCTGGGTTTTGATTCCTGCACTTGGTGTTTCTCATTTACTCTTTCCAGGGCTGTGTGCTCTGCTTTGACCTTCCTAATTTAGATCTGTGGGTTTTCACACTGGTTTTGTAGAGTTTCATGGAATACTGAAAGTTAGATTAATTTTTTAACAGAATTATAATTGACATGCAGCATTATATTAGTTTCAGGCTACAACATAGTGATTTGCTGTTTTTATACATGATTAATTGATTACTTCCATAGGTATAAGTTACTCTCTGTCACTGTACAAAGTCATCACAGGGCTTGTGTAATGAAAACACTGCCAGCAGAAACCCGCCGTACAGAGGCTTGTGTTCACCGAGGGGCCAGCTGCCTGTATCTTAGGGACACAGAAAAGCAGCTTTACCTTCTGCCTGCCCCAAATCCGGGCTCTGCCGGGGCTAGCAGTCAGGAAAGGGGAGACGCAGAGGCAGTCATCCTCCCCCCACCTACTGTCCCGTGAGTAAGGTTGGCTCGAGAGGGTTCCACACAGCCTGATTAGCACCTTCCTACCAAGACCACACATGTGGGGAACCAAGGAAACAGCAATGAGAATGGTTAGGGTTCGTGCCTCTGCCAAGAGCTGTCCCTCCAGCCTATCACTGACTTGACGGGACATTAACAGGTGACTCTCCGAGCTGCCTTCCCTGCAATGGTGCGTCCACGCCTGCTCTGCCCACAGGACCTCTAGCCGGTCCTTGGTAGCCAGGGAAGCATCAGGCTGATTGCACAGTGGTCCTGTTTCGGGCTCTGGTGAGAAAATGTCCGTTCAAGCTTTTCCCGCCAGTGCTGCTCAACCCCTTTGGGACTCAGTGTCAAAGGATCCCCACCCCCACCCCAGCCCAAACCTCTCCTGGTCATGGCCTCTGGGCTCGGAGTAGCACAGCCTGCCAAGGCGCTGTTCCTCTTGGACACACACTGTGATGCCGTCTTGCTCGGGCTGCCCCTTCTGGGGATTCCAGTCTCTGAGTCCCCGGGCTAAGGCTCTAAGCACTGGCCCCCAAGCTCCGGCTCCTCCCTCTCCTCCTTCCGCCCCTTCCCTACTTTCCCTGTGGCTGGCCTCTTGCCTTTCTCCCTGAGCTGGTGTCCTCCTGTAAGGGAGTCCTTCCACCCCAAGCCTCCCCCAGGTCTACCACCCGATTCTTGAAGCTGCTCTCCCAGCTGGAACCGCGTCTGCCTCACTTTCTGACCCACGCTCTGTAGCTGCTGTGGCGCCGCAAACCGGGCTGGATCAGACTGGCTGCTCGTTGGGCCTCGCCCAGAGTTTCTGAGGGGAGCAGGGGCAAGTGTAGGAACTGGTGTGTTTCACGGACACTTGCCGGTAGTGACTGAGGTAGCTGGCCCAGGACCCTTGCGGGGACCGAGTGCTTCTGCCTCGCTCCATTCCACAAGCAGCAGCCGTTCCACCTGTGAAGTCTGGCCAGCGTCTCCCTCCAGCTCTGGGGTGGCCGGGCCCTGGAGGTCCTCCTTCCCGACACAGGGCCTGGCACATGGAGGTGTGCTACTACACGAACGAACGAATGACAGGTGAGGTGGGAAGAGAAGACGGCATTGGGGGAGTATTCTCTCTACTTGGGAGACAAAGGAACAAGGCTAACTACTTAGAAGCCCCTCCCTGAAGACTGTCCGAAGGAGACCTGCCAAAGTTTCCAGAGTAAACAGTCATTTATTGAGGGCCTCCTATGTGTTAGAAAGTTTGTAAATGGCAGCCCAGTGACCCAGGCTGGCCCAGCAGACTTGTTTTCTTGAGCTAACAGTGTCTCAGTGCTTGATGCAACATTTTTAAATTGGAAGATTTTGCATAAAAATGCAGATTTGGGGGGCTCTCTTAGGAAAGGAGAAGTGCCAGTACCAGGCCTGCCTTTCACACACAGTAGTTACTGCCTGAAGCTGCGACAGCTGCCTGCTTCTATGCACCAAACTCCGACCAGGTCGCCGCATCCCCCACTCCCAGTGCCACCAAGTGCACACGTGGGCACCTGTAGCCAGAAGGACAGGCCCTGGGATCTGGCGGGCTCCTGAAGGAACCTGTGACCTCAAATTCTTGAGTAGCCACCTGGGGTCGATGTTTATCCCATCATTTATTCTTCTAGCAGCTTGCTGAAGTAAGAATTCTTTCTATCTTACAAGAGGATCTAAGGAGGTGGTGTCCCATGAACCCATAGCATCTTAGCAGGGATTCCAACACAGACCTGCCTGCCTGGAAGCCTGGGCTTTTTGTTCTTGGCCAAACTGTCTCACTGCCAGTAGTTCCTACTCGCTTGTCCAAAACAGCTCTCCCTTTGCCTGAAAGACACTGACTTCCTCGTTAGGTCACCCGCTCAGTCACAATTGAGCTGAGAGCAGAGTGTGGGCCAGCCCACTGGGTCCCCAGGGCAGCCCTGCCAGCCCAACCCAGGCAGCCCTGGCTTAGCCACACACCATGAAGTACCCTCTGGTGCCGCTGGTGAACGACCTCACGTTTTCTTTCCTGGTGTTCTGGCTCTGCCTGCCCGTGAGCTTGCTGTTGGTCCTGCTGATCGTCTGGCTCCGCTTCTTACTGAGCCAAGGTGAGCTTCCTGGGCTGGGCCCTAATCCTGGAGCTGAGCATGGGGTCCCAAAGCTGGGCAGGCAGGTCCTGAAGCAACGGCAGAGAGAAGAGTTTCCTTCATGCGCTTTAACCGCTGGCAGTCGCCCGTAGGAGCAAAGGATTCATTGAGTAGTTTAGAGGCCAAGAGTGAGCCCCCGAGTTTGGGAAGCGGTGTGTGTGTGTGTGTGTGTGTGTGTGTGTGTGCGCGCGCGCGCGCGCGCACACCTATGTCCCCTCATAGCTACTGCTAGCACAGAAGGTCTTCGGCACAAATCAAAAAGAGGTGGCCCCTGCCCCCGGATGAATTAGTAAAAGGGGCCCTTTGCTGTGACCAGCCAGGGCACAAGGCAGGGGGAACAAGCCGTGCGCTGGACTTGAGCCCCTCCCAGTGCTCCCAGTAAATAACGTACGCGATGGGATATGGCAGCGCCAGGCAAGAGACCCCTCACGCTGCTTTCTGCCTGGACTATGCATCAGGGAGGCAGCTGGGTTCTCGGGGTCGCTAGATCATGGAGGCTGATGGACGCTTGTCCCAAACTCGGCATGCCCCCCAGAGCAACAGGAGGCAGGATGAAGCTGGCCAGAAGGGAAGCTTCGGGCTAGTGGCAGGGATGGCCTTCGGCTCCACAGGTGTCCTATTCCCCTGGGTGCTCCCCTCACCATGGAGCCTCTTCCTGGGGACCGTTTGACCTCCCACCTCCTGCTCCGCAGTTCCAAGACCTTTGGTCAGCGAGGCAGGGAGGGTGCTGATGTGCCACCAGCTCTGGTCCGATGGCACTGAGACGGGGTAAGCGGCTCATCCCCAGAGCTGCCCCACGTTCTCCAGTGTGGGGGCTGCTGATGGTGTCATTACTGGGAGTTCCTGGCGAGAGCTTCTGGAAAATGTTTAAAGTACATTCTCATATTCCTGGGGTGGGCTGCCACCTTCCCTGAGGGGCACAACTCGGGCTTTGGACTGGTGGCTGGTGGTGGACAGAGCACATGTCCGTGCAATGGCTGCAAAAGCCGTCTCTCTGGAGTCTAGGATGGGGCCCACATTTGAGCCTTGGCCCTTCATCGTTCGGAATAACTGCTAACCTTTCTTCCACACCGTACAAAGGGTGTGCTGAACACTGATGTGCATCATCTCATTTAATCCTCAGAATAACCTGCGAAGTAATCCTTATCACACAACTGAGGAAACTGAGGCTCAGGAAGAGCCACGTTCCCAGGTCACACACCCATGAAGTACTTGAGAGTGCCGGTTATCTGGTGTCACCTCCTGGCTCTGCCTCCCAGCAGCTCTGTGACTTTGGGCAAGTCCTCTCTGAGCTTCGGGTTTCTCATCTATAGGATGGAGAGAATATCGGTCCCTACCCTTTGGGGCTGTGGAGAGATGCATGTGAAGGGCAGGGCGTCGAGGACATGTACATGTGTGGCACATAGTAGGTGCTTATAGGCTGAGAAATAATCCATTTCAGTGACAGTGTAGACGAGGTGGGAGGAAGCATAGGCGTGTCTTTGGATGGCTTCTCCAGAAGCCAGGAGCACCTCCCCTAAGGTCTAAGGCACTAATCTCCAGCAGTTCATATTCCTTGAATGCCCTCCTCTAAAACCGTCTGCAGCCTGCCCTGTCCTGACCTTGTCTCAAACTTCCTCCCACATCTCACATGGCCCTTTGCAAAAAGGCATTTGGAAATTTGCAATGACCAGAAATTGTCCTTAAAGCGAGATAAGCAGTCTCCTCTCAGGGGCCCATCTGCTCAGAACTCTTAGTATTGTTGTCCTGGTCATGTCCTTGTGCCAGGGTCTGGGCCTGCCAGGGTTTGGGGGAGCTGCTTCTCAGGGACATCTGGTCTGGCAGTTTTCTGTTCTGCTGTTGATCTCACTGGAATCAGTGTGGCCTGGAATCAGGTGTGAAAAGCAGGCAGGACTAGCTCTGACCCCCCCGCTCAGCAGGGCCGTTCCAGGGCCCAGAAGGCAGCCGGTTTGGGCAGGGAGTGCCATGGGGCCCAGGAGGACACGGTTTCTCAAGTAGATGAGGGAGCAAGGGGGAGGAGAAGGGAGCTGCCCGGCAAGCTTGGCACCGAGGCAAGAAAAGATCGTGGGCAGCTGAGCCCTGGAGAAGCTGGCCAGTGGGGACTACTAATTCCGGACCATGCCAGGAGAGAGTATGCAGCCCCGTGTGCCCTTCAAGGGGAAGGTGCTCCCCTGAGGACATTTCCTTTGTGATCGGAAAGGAATTTGCAGCAAGAAGAAGAGAAACCTCCGAAGAGATGGATTTAGGGCTGAAACATGCCTGTCCCGCCCACCTCGGGGTGATCCTGGGAGCGAGGGGTTAAATGCAAAGCTCCCTTTGAATCCCCTGACTTCGAACTGGTGCAGCCGATGGAACAGGGAACCGCAGGGCCCTGGTGCTGGGAGGCCCATCAGAGTCCAGCCCCACTGCTTCCTGGCTGGGAGCCTGCACGTTCCGCCTTCCCGAGCCTTCCTCACCGGCAAATTGCAACAAACATTAGTAATTCCTTCAAGACGTTGTCGACCGGATTAAATGAGAAAATGCACGTGCCATACTTACGTGCCATACTAGCACTTAGCATGTGTTCAAGAAACAATCACGACCTGTAGTGAAGAGTGGACCCTTCAAGCCCTCACACTGGTTTGTAAATCCTCATCACTCCCTCTTCATAGGGCTGTAATGTGCCCATTCTACAGATGAGGAAATGAAACCCGCCTCTCCCGTCTCCTGCTCTTTGTCCACAAGCGGAGGGCTCTCTTCAGTCTTCATTACTTCTCTGCCATCAGTGAGAGACTCCTTCGGAGTATAGTAAGGAGGAGGATTCCCCTCTCCCTTCTCCATCCTCCTCCACCTTGCCTTCCCCGGATGAGTCACGGCGGCAAGCTCACACACCTATCTAAAAACACATGCAGGTTTTCCAAAAAAAAAGCCTGGGCAGATTGGTACTTGTTTTTCAGTAAAAAGGGGAGGAGATCCAAACCTATACATTTCTCTGAAACTTGCTTGTGATGCATCATGGACATCCTGCAAGTCAAAGGCTACAGGTCTCATGTTTGTTTTAACAGTTACTAACATGGCACTGGATGGAAGCGTGGCTCTGTGCAGTGCAACTGTGCCACCCTCCGTCACCCAGACCCCTCATGATGGACACACACACACACACGCACGCACGCATGGAGTTTCCAGTGTATTTTGTTGTTTGTGCGCGCTTCACCACAAAGCAGTGCTGCAGGGAAATGTTGCACATACGTGTTCAGACACTTGTTAATAAGTGGACCGGTGGACAAATGGATGGATGGGCCAGTCGCCGGGTGTGTGTCTCCCCAGTGCCCGCTCTTGGACCATTCCGAATACAAATAGGTTGTTTGTTTGCCTCGAGGGCCTGTCCCTATTTAGTAGGTGTGTGTGGGCACTTTCTGAGTCCTAGGACAACCTTTGTTGGTCCCGGTCACCTTCAAGGTCCTCAGGTCTTCCTGAGATCTCAGGGCTGTCCCATATGTCATGATTCTGTCTTGTCCCCTTGGTCTCAGATAAGGTTACCAGGGATGCCCAGGCTTGGCAGGGGGCTCCCTTGAGGTCAGGGGTAGGAGACAGGATGTGACCACCCAAGATGCCTTATCTTGTACCTTCACAGATTCAGAGGAAAATGACTCAGATGTATGCTTTGACTGGGAGCCTTGGAGCAAAGCCCCAGCCCAGTTTTGCTGGAAGGGGACACTCCATAGCTAAAAGGAGGAGAGGCCCTGCCTGTGAGCCTTCTGTTCAGTCAGGTGAGACCCTTGGGGAGTTGGGGCACGGGGGCAGGAAAGGGGAGCCTCAGGTCCTACCCAAGGCCTGGGTGGCTGCCATGTTGGATATCCACTCCCTCCACCAGGGGACAAGAGCTGCTTGTCTTTGCCATGTTGGAGAACCCTCTGCTTCATTCTTTTGGAGACATGTTTTCACCATTTTGGAGGACCAGACTTCTCTGCCATGAAGAGTACCTTCATAAAGTTTCCCTAGCCTTTACCTCCGTGACCTCACCTCCCACTGCTCTCCTTACAGAGGGTCTTTGCCCTTGCTGCTTCCTCTGCCTGGAATTCTTCTCCCCCACATCCACTCAGTGCACTCCCTCGCCTCTGAGATTGAGCTCAAATGTCCCCTTACTCTGCTCTAGATTGTCTTCTGCCATAGCATTACCACCTCCTCACGTGCCCAATAACTGATGCTCCAAATCCAAAGCCCTCCCAGCACTCCTGACACACAGCTCTTTGGAGGAGGAATGACACAATCCAGTGATGCAGCTCGCTGATAGTCACTGGACACTTACAAGGCACCAGGGCCTGTGCCGAGCACTTCCCTTTCACAAGCTCGTCTATGAGATCTTACAAAGAGGGTATCATCCTTACCTCCACTTTGCAAATGAGAACCCGAGTGGCAGAGCAGTAAGTAATTTGCCTGGAGTAACGGGGCCCTGGCACCCACTGATAACCTGGAAAGGTCTCAGCCACTCCAGAGGAGTGGAATGTCAGCCCTGTCCAATGACCCCGGGACTCTAATCGTCCTTCTCAGCTCTGTTGTCTCCTTGACATCTTTTCATGGCTGGAAGGGGAGTCTTGATTCCCTTGGGTACCCAACAAAGCAAAACACTGCCCCTGAACTTCTGCCAGCTTTCTCCATCTCCATGAATAGCACCTCCATGGATTGATCTCATTGCTTGAGCCATAAACACCAGAGTCAGTCTTCGTGCCTTTTTTCCCTCCCAGCCCACATCCAGTCCATCAGCACGTCCTCAGCTCTATCCCTCATGTGCCCAATTCCCTCTGTCCCCACGGCCACCCCAGCCTGATCTATTCCAAGTCTGCCGATGCAACGTGTTCCCAACCCCCTCTGCTCCCTGTGGGTCACAGAGTGGAGCCCCTGCCTGTGTGGGGTGAGAAGCAAGGGCCCTCACTTAACCTCAGTTACACTGATTCTTAACCATTCTGGGCCATGACTTTGACAGCCGAGGGTGATTTCCCTGGAAAAACACACGCGAGTGCTTGCACTCAAGAGCACGGTGTTCAGGCCCAGCTTTACGATGGTAACCTGTGCGGTCCCATGAGGTCCCATGTTTCGAAAAGCCTCGTGCTTGCCTTAATGATCTGCCGTCTCTCGTCTTAAAATTTTTAATTTTTGAATGAGGGGCCCTGTACATTCATTTTTTCAATGGGCCCACAAATTACATAACCTGCCCTGTTTGTGTACAATTAGTGGGGTTAAGGAAAGGAGACTTTTGGACTCTGCTCCAGAACCCTGTCCCATTCATATAGAGCCCTTACCGCCCCATCATGTATCTGTTCCTCTCTCACTCTTTCATTCCATCGTCATCTCTAGACTCAACCTTCCATGCTTTTCCAGCCTGGCTTTCCTGGAGTCAGCGGAGCGGTGGCAGTAACCGAGCTGGATGGGAGAGACTCACCGATGAGGGAAGAGGACTCTGGCGAATGTGGTGCTTCCCGGGGGTCCCCCGACTCCGCTCCTCCACCGACGGACTCAGGAAAACCTCCAGAGGACCCAGCTCTTCTCTCACTACAGATGACCTCCCAGGGTCTTGGGGAGGAGCCTGAGCCTGTGAGGATGGGCTAGATAAACAGGCATGCGGGGAAAACAGGCATGCATGAACTCAGAGGAGGTCCTAGGATAGGGCTGGGCCAAAAGGTGTGGGTCCATATTAAAGAAACGAGGAGTTTCCTGTGCTCAGGAGACCCCTGACAAGTCCACTGGGCCTGGCCAGATCCATTCATTTAATAAGCTGTGGGGTCTGGGCCCAACCTCTGGCACTGACTCCACATGTCCTTGACCATCTTTGGGAATTCCTGACTTTCTCCCATCCTTTCAAAGGGTTGGGGGATTCTTGCTCCCAGCTTCCATTCTATAATTTCACACTCCTTGATTCACCTTTAGGTTGACTTTAATAACAAATACTCATTTTGTAAATACAGAGCAGCTACCATATGCTAGTATAAAATTAACTCACCTTTCATGAGCACCCACTGTGTACCAGGCACTTTTCCATGGGCTTTATACAGGGGTTTTAACCCTCACAAGAATTCTATGAGGTAGGGTCTTTGGTTATCCCCCTGTTTCACAGAAGGGGAAAATGAGGCACAGAATGACCTCATTTTGTGGCTTGGAGCCACGCCAATGGAGTTGGGCTTTGAGCCAAGACCCTGACTCCACTGTGCCAGGTCTCACCCAGTGTGGGATGTGGGGTGGTGCAGGCAAGGAAGTGTTCTCTCCTTTGCAGAAATCCCCTGTTCTTACGTCCTCACTAGCTTCCCAGGGGCACCAGAGTTGATGGCAGGAGAAGGGGACAGGCCCTTCTGGTGTCCCCTCCTCTGCCACCTCAGATCCTACCAGTCAGGAGTATGAATTATTAGCTCGTCTGGAGTTTGGTCTCCCCGGCTCTGCTTTTTCTGCCCTGTCAGACGGTCCATCCAATGCACAAAGTAGAACATGTCTTTCCCCCTGCTTCAAGCCCTCTATGGCTCCCTATTGTCCTAGGGCTAAAGTCTTGAGTTCCTTGTGTGGCTGCCCTTTGGGAGCTGAGCCCCACTAAATTTGCAGGACAAGTTTTCTGTTCCTAACGACAATGGGAACATCCTTGAACTTTTATCTTGGTATACAAGTGTGCTTCTATCTAGGGGATAAATTCTGGGAGAAGTTGTTGAAATTGAGACCTATGTGTTTACATTTTGCAGATGTTGCTAAGTTGCCCCACTATATGGTAACTCCGAGGGTGTACATTACGTGCCTGTTCCCCCAGGCCTTTCCCCTACTGTACAGGTATCCTCACACACACATATTCTCCCCCATCCCTTCACCCCACCCCACCTCTCCCTCCACACATGCCTTGTTCTAGCTGATGAGATTTTGGTAACCTGTGTTTTCCTGGGAGCTTTCCTGGCATTGAAATAAACACTTTTGGTAACATACATCCCCTGTGGCTGGAGCTTCTCTCAGAATTTGTCTGGCATTTTCTCCAGCTTCCCTGCTCCGTAGAGTCCCATGCACTGCTTGGTCGCCTCTGTCCCCTTTGCTGTGAGGGAACATGCTGCAGGTCGGCCTCTGTGCTGACCTAGAAAAGCCAGATGAGCCATCAAGCCCCACCCGCCTGCCCCCTGTCACTCTGGAGGAGCCAGAGAAGCCTCCTGGTGGGGGGGCTCAGACCTTGAGGGAGAGTGGGCACTGCCTGTCTCTGCAGGGAGGACCTCTGGCCATGAACCTGGGAGCACCTGCTGCAGAAGGCAGGGGACACAGCTCCTTGTGACTCCTGGCAGGTAAACAGCTCTGGATGGTAGTTGGTGGGGGCTGTGGGAAGAAGCCCTCCCAGCTCTGGGTGGAAGGCTGAGATCCCGGGTCTCTGAGGGGTATGGATTGAGGTTTCCTTTTCAACATTTTGTTCTATAAGGCAGATGTGTGTGTGTGTGTGTGTGTGTGTGTGTGTGTGTGTGTGTGAGAAACACAGCCTGTGAGCCTCTAGTGATAGGCTCTCCAAGAGACATCATCCCGATTACAGCAGCCATGGCTGAGTGCCTGCTGCTCTGTGTCTACCCCAGGGCTATCCACTCCCCGTGAGTTGTCTTATTTGACCCTCCCAACAACCCTGTGAGGTGGGTCTTAGTTTCATTTTCCGATGAGGAAACTGAGGGTCAGAGAGGTTAAGTAACTCCCCCAAAGTCGCACAGCCTGGAAACGGCCTGCTTTCCTGACTGTAACTGAGAGGTATATCTGAAGATCCCCAGGGATATCCTTCGCTCTTCCTAGCCCGGACGATGCAACTGAAGGTTGTGCCATTGATGTTTGTAAGACACACGAGTAAACTCAGGACAGTAAGTAGACGTGGCTCTCTCTTTGGACCTCTTGTCATGACACATTTCCCAGGCATGCCCATATTTTCCACCTCTAACCGGAAGCTCTGGGACCCTCCCTCTCCCCCTCTCCAGGACCCTCAGTGTCGTCCTTGGCAACTTGAGGCCAATCCTCTCTGTACTCCTTTCATGAGGCGACCACCACAGAGCAGCACAAACTGGGTGGCCTAGAACCACAGAAATGGATTGTTCCACAGGCTGGAGGCCAGGGGTCCAGAAGGCGCTGGCAGGACGTGCTCTCTGAACCTGCGGGAAGGATCCAGCTTCTAACAGCTCCAGATGTTCCTTGGCTTCTGGCTGTATCCCTCCAGCCCCTGCCTCCCTCTTCACACGGCCTTCTCCTTGTGGGTCTTTGCACCGTCTCCCTCTGTGTGTGTCTGTCTCTATGTTCAAATTGCCCCTTTCTATAGGGATACGTCATTGGTGAGGGCCCACCCTAAGGACTGCATTTTAGCTTGATTACCTCTGTTGAGACCCTATTTCCAGAAGAAGGTCCTATTCTGAGGTCCTGGAGGTTATTAGGACTTGCATGTGTATTTTTAGCAGGACACAATAATCCCTACCTCCCTCTTCTTTGAGGACTCCGTGTGGTCGTGCACAGAAAGCTCTGAGCACAGGGCTGGGCTCACACTTTGTAAATGCTCCGTAAACTGCCACCAAGAGAGCAAAGTTGAGCACCCGGAAATAAGGTGCTGGGTATACATCCTGTGCCAGGCACAGTTTGGACCCTTGACACGTATTATCCCACTGAATCCTCACGGCCACCCCTTGAGACAGGCAAGATTTTCATCGAAATGACACAGAAGCTGTGACTCCGAGAAGTTAAGGCACTTGCCTGAAGCCAAACAGCCCAAGTGGCAGAGCTGAGGCTCAACCACAGGCCTGTGTGGCTCCATCCATCCCACCAGGTGGAACACATGTATCCTGGGGAGCAGGAGATGCTCAGATGGGGAGAAGGGCAGGGTGGAAATGCTGTGCACGGAGCACACAACCCTGGGAAGCTTTCTGGGTCTGAGGGGCATGGAACAGGGCTCTACAATAGTCAGGAGGTGGGCTGGATTACAGGCTCCCTGGAGAGGTGCTGGCAAGCTGCCAGGATCTGAGTCATTCCACTATGACCTGATCCACTTGACTGATACTCCAGGGCTGGGACCAGGCCCAACAGGGGCAGAGGGATGTTGCCCAGAGTGAGGGCACACTTCATCCTCTTCTGAGTAAGTGTGGTTCTCCAGGAAGCTGAGAAGTAGTACTTCCTTAAAGAAGCTTACTCAAGACTCAGGATACTCTCTCTTCATCCTTGCTTTCCAGGGGTTCCCTACACCTTAGCAAGGTGACAACAAGTTAGGTTTTCTGTTCTGGACCATAAGTTCATTTACTCGGGTACTAACTTATTTATTCATTCAAGCATTTATTTATTCCTTCACTCATTAGCTTTTCTATCCATTTGCCTAATGGCTCACTGAATTCTTCATGCACTCATTCATGCTCTAACACATTCATATACACAGCCATCATCCATCCATCCATCCATCCATCCATCCATCATCCATCCATTCATTATCCATCCATCATCCAAC